TTTTCTTCTTTATTTTTCTTTTTTTTCCTTCTTTCATATTATCTAGATATAATATTTTCTTTATCATTATTTTCTCCCCAATAGTATACAATAGAAAAGAGAGTATGATTTATTTACATCGGTATTGTGACGTATTTATTTAAACGCAAGCTCAGCTAAACCACCGTCCACTCACGCTAATATCATGCAAGAATAGAAGAGGACACCATAAAAAAAAAAAAAGAAGAAAGGGAAACCGCATATACGGTGTTTCGAAGAACGTGACCCGAACCAACCTCGATCGACCTAACCGATTATTATTAGGTTTCGTCCTTTATTTTCTTATAACGTGCGTACTTTGCGGCGACGTGCCCTAATAGAGCGAATCGATGCAAGATTAATACAGTAATCGGCCCGAATGTTTACGCAACCGAGTCCATTATCTCTGCATCGTTCTTCGACATTTTATTCGACCAAGCGAATTTCATAAAATACGCATATTTATTTTTTCTCTTTTCCTTCCTTTTTTTTTTGTTTTTTTTTTTTTTTATACGAAAAACCGTCCGACGGATAATTTAAATGAAACGATTTTATACGCGTATTTTGTTTCTCTCTCTCTACCTCTCATTTTTTGAAGCACTTAATATTCCTATCCGTAGCAGGCCAAACGATGTTCATAAAATTCACGTTCTCCATAAATAAATATATTACCGGGTGGAAAAGGATGAGGCACGACGATGACGACGGTAATTCATTCAATATTTGGCAGGATATTTAACGCTATACGCGACGACATGTTGGCGAATTAACGTCATAATTCGAGGTCCGCGATGTTGTTTACGTTGCTTTTCCGCATACATATCGGAAATTAAACTATAAGCAGTATCTCTCCTGTTCGACGATAAGAGGATAAGGTCGGTTAAGGGATATCCTAGTTGAATTACCGTTACTTCGATACGACGTGCTACTTTCTACACGCGTGGTATCTAACGAGAGGACGTACGCGAACTATCTCTAACGGGTGATACGAGTAAGACAACGACGACGACGATGAATCTTTCCAAAGTTTAATCGAAACATTTTCAATATCGTTATTATGAAATACCAAAATTCCCCCTAAAATTATTTATCGATTAAAACTAAAAAGAAATGGCGAATATAATAAGGAAAGAGTCCGATGAATGCAAAGCATCGATCCTTTTTTCCCTGTTTTCGAAAAGCTTGATGACCTAGCCGTTAGGAAAGTACGGATAGGCAAACACGAGTACTACTACTACTACATGCGAAAGCAAACGCGAGACTTTGATCGGAACTCAAAGCACGAGTTACGCGGGTATTAAGCTTTCGCTCGTATATCCGTGAGCCCGTGTCACGTGGTCACCCGGTACGTGAACGGTTATAATGTATGGCCTAGTCAGGTTCGGCATGGTCCAGTAGGGGGAGTTTGGTTGACAAATCATTAACTATGCATCGAGCCGGCCTGCAAATACTCGTTACTAGTGCTTCCCCGTTCTGGGCCACCCTCTCTGCGACCCCCGCTTGCCACCCAGCTTGCCACCCAGCTTGCCACCCAGCTTGCCACCCTTCGTCACCCCCTCGTCACTGGGAGCGGCCTGCCACCCATCGCGAGCTACGGACGCCTCTCTCTACGGGCACGGCGACGGCCCGACGACGGCCCGACGACGGCCCGACGACCTAGCCAACCCCTAAATACATCGCTCTAACCATTATGCAGCATTATAACGTCGATGCGCGCGCTCCAAACTACCTATCGATATTTTATGAGGACCGCCGTCGAGCCGTTTTCCCTCTTTGATCGCAACACATTGCCTTCCGTACTCCGCCTTTTGTACAAAGATTATTCAACGAAACTTGCGAGCTCCAAACCAAACCGTGCTGCTAATCAAAATTACAAAGTAGGATCGAACGATTGAAAATACGAAAGAAATGGAGAAATACGATCATTTCTTCTATCTGGCTAGTAAGGCGCATCGCGCGTCAAACAAAAAAGGGCTGAAAATTGGAAAAAGGATAGCTGGGACTGCGGTTTCGAGCCATTCGTATGTACATGGGAATTTGTTGTCCGTTATGCGGCGTGCATAGAGAAAGATAGATAGATAGATGGTGGGAGAGGGAGAGGGAGAGAGTGGATAGGGCGATATCGAGCAGACGAAGGTTAGGGTATAACGCGAGGGTCGGTACCAGCATACGGCGCCAAGCTGGAACGCAACCCCCGGCCCGTTTCACCGGTTGTTGAAAGGAGAAAGACGAACGAGAGAGGAGGAAGAAGAGAAAGAGGAGGACGGGGAGGGGAAGGAGAGGAGGAGAAGGACGGAGGGTGAGCGAATTCGCAGCATTAAACATGGTGGACTCGCGCATTGGTTGCGCAGTAGCTGGGCGTTACGGACCGCACCATCGACCAGCGAACTATACGCGGTACTGTACACCAACCGTCCTGCGGCGAGTCCGCTTTCATCCCCTCTTGCTATCAACCCCCTCCACTTCGCTCCAACTCTTTCCATCTCTTACTCTATTTCCTTCTATCTCTTCTAGTTCCCTCCTTACAAGCTCAGGTGGAAATGGAGTAGAGATGGTTGCGTGGATACCTACGTGCGTGGCTAACCTTGCACGTCCTCCTTAATCCGTTCCCATCGGTACTTCGGTCAAAGTCGAATCAAACTATTGTATAAACTGTCCGATGGAAATATACAAGACTTTTTTTTTTATTTCATAAATGGTCTCCTTCTAATTGAAAAATATAAATAGCCCTAGAAATTATTTCTCTCTTTTAAATATAATCGAAAGGAATAATTTTAGTGATCGTGTATCTTCTTTCGAAGTCATTTTTTATCCTACTTTTTTTTTGAATAGATAATTGTATATAATGTATAATAAAATATATTATTACCATTGAACCATCGATCCATTTTTTGAATGAATTTTGTGCAATGAACGCTCCAACCGAAGGATTTTACAACGTAACTCTCATCGAATTTCCGAGAAAATGTTAAACCCCGAAGAAGAAGAAGAAGAAGAAAGATTTTCAAGGAGAAAAGAAAAAAGGGAGAAAGATGCCCTGCGGTTTTCCACGATTCGCTAACGTAAGAGAAATAAAGAGGAAAGGCGAAGAAGAGGGTGGACGAGGAGCAACGAAGATCCGTTGGAAGAGAAGATGCGCGAGTATAATAAAGGGTAAACATTCCTCCGGCGGGCCAACCCCTTACCGCCGAGGGGTCCTTTGCGATTTCGTGAGATTTTCAGTTAATTTTCTGGTTCCTCTTATGGATCACTCCATCAAGCATCCCCTACCAGTTTTCTGGGGCTATCTCTCGTCCACCATTCGAATTCTCCGACAAAACCCCTCCCACTTCGTAAGAGTTTTCAACCCTTCCAACGAAGCAGCCTGGTATAATATTCAATTACATAGCTGCAAGTAAAGTCAAACAAGCCCACAGGGCCTGCAAATCTCTCTCCTTCCTGTTCTGGGCTTGGTCGAGACTTCCGACCGGCTGAACGGGGGTGTATAGAAACTATATCTATATATAGATATATATATATATATATATATATGTATACGGAAAATGGGAATATATATATTATATCTGTGTATAAGTCTGTATATATATATATATATAGGTACATACAAACGCGCTGCGTTGCTCCACATCGCTTTATCGTACCGGTTTCTCTACCTTCCGGAGATGCTTGCCTACGGTAACAAAGAGAATACGAATATCTCTTCTAAATGAAAAAAGGATTATCTAACGCATTTATTTTGTTTTTATTTTATCTTTCTTCATTTTGTTCAACGAAAAGATATATATTTTGTTGTGAATGAATTTATCAAAAGACATCTTATAGAAGGATCGAAAGGAAATAATGGCTGCGGCGATCCGATAGAATTTTGTCGACGACAACGAAATTGAATTCGCGTGGCAATACAGTGTAATATCCCACGTTTGTCTCTGTGAGTAGAGGCAACCCTCTCTCTCTCTCTCTCTCTCTCTCTCTCTCTCTCTATCGAGGCTCGTAACTACCCCTTGACGTACCACCGGCAAGCAAGCAGAATGAATTAAATATGAATAGACAGAACGGTTTGCGAGCGAAGAATGACGAGAGACTAACCGATTCTTGTATGCTTCCCTTGATTCACCGGACAAATGGTCATTTAATATTTCTCACATACGAATCGAGCTGTATAATCGACAACACCTTCTTCCTTTTATTTTTGTTTTCTATCTAAATTCGTATCAGTTGGATGACGTCTGTTCTGACATTGGTTAGTTTTATCGATCCTTTCGTTACTATATTTTGGATTGTAAAAGAACGAAGGTTGCATCTTTTTAGCTAAAAAACTCCCGAGCCTTTCATCGTCTCCTACCTTCTTTCTTTTCTTGATGAAAAACCCTCCCTCTCTCGCTCTCTCTCTCTCTCTCTCTCTTCCCTTTTCCTCCTATCTTCTTCTTCTTCTTCTTCTTTTTCTCTTCCGTCGACTCCAAGGAACAGGAACAGCCACGCTCTTAATGCCAGCTAATTAATAAACTTTTACCATCTCCGTGTTTGTACCCAACCCTATCATCACCCTCGCAATCCACCCACCTCTAGTCTACCTTACCACCCTCGAGCTCTCTTTCTCTCTTTTTACTCGAAGCTGCCTTCGAATTCATCTTCTAACTGGTTTGCTTCAAAGGGTAGCTTCGTTCGTTCCTTCCTTCCTTCGTACGGCCCCCTTTTCTGTCTTCTTCCTCCCTCTCTTAACTTTACCCTTTCGAGAACGATTTCGAACCCGGTTCAAAGACACCGTACAATTCTTCACTTTTCCTTTATCAGATAGTTCCCTTTTTATCTTTTACATCCTACCTTTTTTACTTACATTAGAATAAAAAGAATATTTTACATCTTATATTTATTTGTTAAATGCATCTTTTTTTTTTTCTTTTACGTCCAAAATAGAAATTGATTTATTATGTTTCAAAGAAGAAGAAAAACATTAAAAAGCAAATAATTGATTTTCTGTGCAGATACTCGGGATAACTATTTGGGACCACCACCAGGAGAGAGGAATTATCTAGAATAACTCTGGATGATAAGTTTTAGATATAGCTAAGGTCGAGATCTCAAAAGATCCCCGTCCCTTAGATGTTTGCACGCAGCGTGCCGTAATACACGTTTGAGTATGTGGTGTGTCTGTGTGTGTATGTGAATGTCTAGAGGAGAGAAAATTATGAGCCAATAAAGGTTTCACGAGGTCGACCGAAAGAAGATAGAGCACGTTGCGCCGGGTCCGTCGGAACGACGCAATCTACGACTTCTTGCTTCTCTAACGACGCGAACGTGGAATAACCGTGTATTTCTCTTTTCCCTAAATATTCGATCCTAAACCCAAGTAGTATAGTCTGTGAGTATCGATCACGTTTAACGTCCCCTTTCTCAAAGGTTTCAAAATAAAAATAATCAAACTCTCTGAAAAATAATAACTCTCTCTCTCTCTCGATGATTATTGCGATAACGATCGAGTAGTCCTTTGAGTAGTAGTCCTTTTAGGTAGTCCAATTAGGTGATCATTAATTATTATTACATGGAAGATCGTCGAGTTATTTACACGTGTGCCGATGTCCTCGATGTACTCTTTCCGTTCACGTGACCACCAGGTTCAGGGAAAAGAGGGTCAAACGAGAAAGCTAACCCTCATTAGGCACCGTATATCAGGACAAAGTCGCGTGGCAATGACGTGTAATTATTACGCGTCGAGTATTACTTGCATATTACCAACAGAGAATAACGTTCGGCGAACCTATTAAATACAGCAGAAATGTACGTAAGGTAAGTCTTTAAGATAACTCGGCAATTTTATTTCAGGTAGGTGTGACACGTTAGGATATAACTGATTCATTGCGCGAATGTTCCCACGAACGAATAGAATGAACGATCATTTGTTCGAATAAAACGACAAAATTATAGGTACCCAACTACCTATCCTTTAACTTTGTTCTTTACTTTTTACAAACGTACAAAACCCAATCGAATTCGGACTTTGATTGTAGATCAAAGATCAATTAGAAAGTTAATGTACCTAGACATTAGCTGTTCGCACGACGGATACGTTTGGAAGAGTGATAATTATTTGAAACACTTTTATTAAGCGAAATCAAGCGAGTCGAGAGAGAGAGGGTGGGTAGGGAGGTGGAGGGGAAGGGACGATTAAACTGGAAAACGTGGAAGCAGAAAGTGTGCAAAGAAAGTTCCCTCGCTGGATGTCGATTTAAATCGACACACGGATATCTATAGGAGTTTAACGAACAACTAGGTATATTTGCCAGACATAAACGAAATGGCAATCGTTAATTATTATTACATGGAAGATCGGCGACGTCGCCGGTACCATGGCGTTGCGGCCAGATATCTATGCTACACCACTACTCTGTAATAATAGGCACTCGCTCAAATATTTCCTCGGTTAAATATTTGATCTCGTTTTTATTCCATTTATTAAAAGCCACGAGCGAAAGGCGCGGGGTCGTTGGGTGGTGGTGGTGCTGCTGCTACTGCTACTACTGCCTGCTGCTGGTGAAAAGAGGGTGTGTGTGTGTGTGTGTGTGTGTGAGAGCACGACGGACCGTACGCTCGCGAAATCCACATCTACGATGATTTAACGAGCCTGCAAATAGAAAGACGACGACAACGACGACGACGACGACGACGACGACGTCAGTCGGGTCGCGAAAACTTCCAAGGACCGATTAGATCTTTGCGTTTGTATATTTTCTCATCAGTTCCACGTTCATAGCGATTCCTAACATCTTCTTTTTCAATTTCAATAATCTCTATAACTCTTGAAGGAAGATTCGCTAGATTCGTCATTTTGTTCGTGTCAGTCAATATAAGCGACTTCTCCAAGTGAGTATTATTAGCATCGGGTGAGCGTAAATCCAAAGGTAATCGAAACACGTATCGCTTTCCGATATCGTATTTGCATGTTACAGGACTCGCGTGTTTTCCTTTCGTGGTCGACGCCGAAGAACGTATGTATATATACCTACATGTTCTGGGAAATCTATGGTAAATAGAACCAAGAGTTCGATCAAATTCTTCCCACGTTTGATATGATTTCGGTGTCAGTGTATAAAAATCGGTAATGAATGCGATTGGAAAAGTATTGAAGAACGTGATACTTAACGAGAGAGACAGATAGAGAGGGTGGATGAGAGACGGATATTGAAAGATCGATCTTCTCTTCGGATAAATGACCTTGGCGTTTTATCAAGATTAGCATCGATAGCGAATTCTTTAACGTTAGAGCTTCGATGGTCAGAGTCAGTCAATATATTCAGGGTAGCGAAAGAGAAAAGCAACGGAGAGAAAAAGAGAAAGATAGAAAGTCGCACTAGAACGAAGGGTGGAATGATCGTAAACGAGAGCAAGTGGGAGAGTAGAAAAGTAGGAGAAAGAGAGAGAGAGAGAGAGAGAGAGAGAGAGAGAGAGAGAGAGAGAGCTAGAGGGTGGAGAAATGGGTTGTACGATCGAGGGGGAGTGGCGCAAACATTTGCCTGCCGCCCGGTAAATTAAAAGCACACAGAGAGGAGAGAATAGAAGTGAGAGGAGAGTGAGTAAGTGAATGAACGACCGAGTAAGGGACGAAGGATCCTAGGTGTCCATAGTTTCCTCTTCTCTTTCCACTATATATCTATTCTTCGTTGCATCTGAAAAAAAAAAACGAGATACATGCAAATATGATATATATCTTACATTTAATGTATATATTGCGGTCATTGTATAAAATTTCCATTAAGATTGGGTAATGTATAATTTCAGCATGTTTTTCTTCCCCTTCCCTTGCAACGTATCTCGCCTACTGAATTATGAAAAATATTCTTTTCAGCCCTCCGCGCCTAAATGACCAACCATTTCGGCAAATTCATCGACGAAAAATCGTACTCATCTTTGCTCGAACCGATTCCTTCCGCCACAACCAACTGAAGCATATATTTTAGATTGATCAAAACCTTCTATGCATTCTATAGATTGACCGTAACATGTATATGTATAGATATTTGTATAACTGAAAAAACAAGATAGGCACACACGCGTTATCTCTCTTTGATGCCAACAGAGGAAGGATGTTCGAAAAGTGTCTTGATCAAAATTCCATTTGATTTTGTCTTTTTTTTTTCGTAATCGTTACTTTGTCATCCACCGTTTATGATTCGTTTGGCAGATTTCCCAGCAGGAAGCAGCATCTCCCAGCAACGCAGCGTCCATCAAACGTCCTCTTGGCTATGCATGTCGTTTGTGGTGGTTGGCTACGGAGAAGGGGGTAGTAGCGCGAACCTCTCCGTGTTGACAGACAAATATTTGTCGCGGCATACACCACCACCGTCAACCACCAGCAACTCTGCCGCCTCCGACGATCTCGACCTTCCTTCCTTCCTTCCTTCCTTCCTTCCTTCCTTCCTTCCTTCCTTCCTTTCTTCCTTCTTTGCTTGTTTCTTATTTTCTTCCTTACTTCCGCTCGATCGTTTCCAAACTTACCACACACAAGTTTAACAAATGATTTAACGAATACAGATTTATAAGAAAAATTGTAAGATTCAATCGTGCAGACGAGTACGTATAAACACGTGTACATAGAAGAGTAAATCTGAAAATAATAGAAAACATCGAGTACGGGAGAGTGTAATCAAGCGGGAAAAGAACACAAGAAACGATGCAAACGTTTGGATCAGAGATGTGCCATCCAATGTCGTGTTTCGCCGACGTGTTAATGCCGAGGACGGGCTCCGAAGCAGGAAACGAGAATCGGAGTGGGTGGAACGGAATGCAATCGAGTCTTTGTTGCGCTTTTGACCCGGAACTCAGCTAGGCCGACTAGTGTCTGCCCGTGTTTGTCCCGCGCAAACTTTGTTTTTGCAAATAGAACCACGTGTTCCTCCGTTCCCTCTCCCTCTCTCCACTCTTCTCCTACTTCCACCTCCACTCTTTCTCATCCTCCGTCCTCCTCTCTCCCTCTCCCTCTCCCTCTTTCTCTGAATCAACAGCCCCTTGCGCATACACGCGACAGGTGTCCAATCGGGAAAGCGGAACAAAAAGTAGACTAATTCGAACGCTTTGTGGTCGATTCGATCGAAGATTCGTTCGGTCGTCCGATGAATTTCTTCGTCGCACGTTTCGTTCCAAGTCCTGTCATCCGTAATGCGTGTAACGCGTTAACTGGAGAATTTGAAGCTACAAAATGTCCCATCCGGATCGACCTACTTTTGGGAAACAATGGGAGAAGACAAAAAAAGCGAATAATAGTAAAATGGGCCAATCGTGTATCGTTGAAATTGAAAGGTTAAATGCGTAAATTGAAATCCTAGCTTAGTGAAACTGGAAACTCGAAACTCTGGCAAGGTGAGATTTCGAGTCGGTGGGTAGGAGGATGTTGTACGATTCGATGGAAGGTAGAAGCGTACTAATTGAAGGGCCGGTTACGAGCAACACGGTAGCAAGTCTCGTAATTAGCACCTTCCTGGACCACACGCGCTGTTGATTCCACGTATTCGACGGTGCGTCCTTAACGTCGAGTCAACGAAAAGGGAGATAGAAGCCTCTCCTTTGAAACTCCCTTTCTAATCGTATAAACAAAGATCGATCATGCGAATTAATTTCGATTATTCTGAACAATTCGATCGTTCGTTCGTCCTTTGTATTTTAACTTTCTTAGGAAAAGTCAATTCTCAACTTTCTTATTTTATGTCGTAAAACGAGGAGAAAAAGAGATATCTTCGACGGCGGGCGAAGGKGAAGTCGACATCGAAAAATGAAAAGCAAGATATTAAAACGAAAGAAAGAAAGGAAGAAAGAAAAAAAGCAGCGACTTTCGGAAGTTCATGAAAGTTCGTTTACACAACTCTTTCCCGCGCTGCAATGCATTATGCTCTCGAGACGAGCTGACCTGAAATCTTCGACCTCCGCTGCTCTTCAGGAGGGAAGAGCGACGCAACTCGTCATTCCGGTACACCTTCTACAAGTTTGTCACGCATACAGGGTGCTCCGAAAGTATAGGACCAACCTTACGTTAAATCATTCACAAATGTATAAAACTTATCGCTGCTCGCGCGAATCCAGTAATAACAATTTCTCTTAAATTGGCAATATCGTGGAAATTTTATGAAATTATTTAATCGAATAACACACAAAATGTATCTATTTAAATATATTTGCTCTTAAGGTCAATTTCATTCAGTATCATCCGTATTAAGAACATGTTCGTTATTCTATCCGCATTATAATTGATATTTGAAATATTTGTAATTTTTCAAATCAATCCGAGGGAACTTAAAAGTCAGGAATGAAAATGAGGAAGACGCTTCTGGCTACTCCTTTAAATTCTTTCGGTCGAACAAAATATCTATTTTACTTGCGATGTCGTTTTCTATACCCGGTACGCAACTCGTCCGACTACTTCGTCCGATGGAGTGCTGCATCCGTGCGCACAACCCTTGAGTGCACTCGAGACCAAGTCAAGAGTCCCTCTCTACATGGGTGGTCCATTCTTCTTACGCATGCATTATATAAGTTCAGTAAAGTTCACACCATGGATAACTGAACGAGAAACTGATCGTTTACCACTATCGGAGAGACGTGTTCTTCCAAATACTTACATATTTCTTTATCCAATTACGATTTAATCAATTTTCTTTTAGATATAAATCATATAGAAAGAAACTAAGATTTAATGACATAGTCGATGGATCATCATCATCATTATTGAATTAAGAATGTAAGGTATATGCTGATAGAAATATAGGGACGACAAAGGGCCGAAACGGTAGGCGAATTTTGCCTGCTGGTTGTAGATAAGAATAGGCCATATATCGTCCATCCAACATCCCCACTTACATCACCATAACTTTTCAACGTGCTGGAGATGTCCCATGCAATATACGTGAACGTTGCTTCAGATATTACATTCTTTTTAATTATTAAACATTTCTTGAATTCTTACTAAAGAATTATATACCTAATCAAACTGATTAATGTAAAAGAATTGTGTGAACTCATCAATTTAATTCGTAATATTTACGAGTATGCATTTTTATTGATGCATTTATATAAAAATATATTAATACTGTATTAAATAAATTTGAAATATAAATTATGCGTGAATAGATTTCTGAGGGAAGAATTTATCAATGATTTTTAAAATTATAATAAATCGATAGGAGTTTTCGCGTTAACGACTGTAGGTTCATTTACAAAGGTTCGTCGATGGGGACGCCATTATCGCCGATTAACTTCTGGAAGCTGCAACGTTGCATTAGATACATCGTCGATAAAACAGAATGCGACATGAAAATAATTGAGTTTCTTGTAGTTACGAAGATCAAAGATATTTTTTTTCTGATCTATAGATCTAATTTTAATTTATTATAAGCTTCCATATAAAAATTGTTTACTTATAAAATATTTCGATTTGAGTCTTACAATTCTGAGCTTTATTATTATGAATAAATACATAAATTAAAACGAAAATACTTTCATTGAAATTATATAATGACATTTGTAATAGATTTTACTCATAAATATCACATTAAATTATTCAAAAAGAAGCTGTACTGCATTCAAGAAATAACAACAGATTTTGTTAATGGAAACGAAACTGTTCATTGATATGATTCACGAATTACATTTCTCGTTTACTTGCATACAAAATTCTTGAATAATAAATAAACTTACGTATGTTTGTGTGTATATATATATATGTTTCCTTCGAAACGTGACTTTAATTAATCGGAAGATATATTGACGATACTTTTCGAAAGGGCCATCGAGATAGTTCTCGATTATCGAATGTTTTCGATTTATCGAATCGTTACATTGAATAATCGAATGGGCATTCACGTCGTAAAATCTGCCATTTTAATAAGATTTACTTAGGAAAACAACCTTTTCTGTAATTGCATTATTTATTACCAAAGTTTCGATAACGGTTAAGTCAATTTTTGTGTAATTTTTTGAATTTATTATTAAGAAAAATGCTCGGAATAGGTGATGTCGATAAAATAGAAAAACCTACAGTACTCGAGGATATTGCCAGAGCGGACAAAATCAAGGAGGAAGCCAATGAATTTTTTAAAAGTACGTTCTGTAATTTTATCTGAATTATAAATGTCTTGTTAATTTTTAATCATCTTGTTATTTTTTTCTATTCATTTATGAGAATCATTGGTAGTGCATACTAGAGTCACGTTTCTTTTTAACCTGACTTAATTTTCGTGATTAGAAAATTCATTGAATATATTACAAAGATAAGTCAATAACGTTAGAATTGTATTAAATCTACGATAATTCTATTCAATTATAAAGAAATAATATTGTTATTTATTTTTTATTTTACTGTGTTGATATTATTTCATATGTTACATTGGATTTTTAATATCGTATCAATTTGATATCGTTCAATACTCTTTTAACTATTAGTTACATGCTATTTTATTGAATATATTAAAATAAATAAATCCATTTCATTTACTTATATTCCAGTTCAAGCTTACGACAAAGCCATAGAATTATATACAGAAGCCATCAAATTAAATCCTAATGTAGCACTTTATTACGGCAACAGGAGTTTTGCTTACTTAAAGACAGAATGTTTTGGATACGCGCTAAAGGATGCATCCAAAGCTATTGAATTAGATCCTAATTATCTCAAAGGATATTATCGTAGAGCGACAGCTTACATGTCGCTGGGTAAATATAAATTAGCTCTTAAGGATTACAAAACTGTATGTAACGCAAGACCAAATAACAAAGATGCTTGTGTAAGATATAAAGAATGTTATAAGACATTAAAAATTAAATCTTTTGAAGAAGCTATCTGCGTACAAGAGAATGAGGAGAGTTTAGCTTTATTGATCGATTTAAACATAAGGGGTAAATATTAATTTTCTAAACAATTTTCTTTGTAATAAAAGTATCAGTGAAAATTTCCTTTATCGTGCGCTAAGTTAACATTGGACATTTCAGGTGCCAAAGAAGATGAAGAAGGGCCAAGTTTAGAAGATGGCAAAGTAACGCTTAAATTTATGCAGGATTTGTTAGAATGGTATAAAAATCAAAAGAAATTATTTATCAAATATGCCTATCAAATTTTAGTAGACGTTAAAGCATTGTTTAAGGCGCAACCAAGTTTAATAGATATTACCATACCAGAAGATAGTAAATTTACGATTTGCGGTGACATACATGGACAGTATTATGATCTATTAAACATATTTGAATTAAATGGACTACCATCGGAAACTAACCCCTATGTATCCTTTTAAGACCAATACTATCGTATGCTCTATATCATACTCTTGTTTGTTATAGCATTCAATACTTAGAAATTGTATTTGTTACTAGCAAAGCATATTCCTCCTTAATGATGTGTAGTTATTTAATGGAGATTTCGTAGACAGAGGTTCTTTTTCCGTTGAATGCATATTCACTTTATTTGGTTTTAAATTATTATATCCAAATCATTTTTTTATGTCTAGAGGTAGGTAGTATATATTTTATTCTACGATAAGCTGAAATTATCGAAATATATTATATTCGATCTATTAGGTAATCACGAATCTGCAACCATGAATCAAATGTATGGATTTGATGGAGAAGTTAGAACCAAATACTGTCCTGCGATGGCAGAAGTGTTCACAGACGTATACAATTGGCTTCCTCTTGCGCATTGTCTTAATAAAAGAGTACTCGTAAGTTTACATTAATAATTATTTTATTATATTTCTCTTTTTTCCTATTGCATATTTCATGAATATGTTTTTCAAGGTAATGCACGGTGGATTATTTTCAAGAGACAATGTAACTTTAGAAGAAATTAAACAAATTGATAGAAACAGGCAACCACCCGAGGAAGGTGTAATGTGTGAATTATTGTGGTCTGATCCGCAACCACAAATGGGTAGAGCAGCTAGTAAAAGAGGTGTAGGTGTACAATTTGGTCCTGACGTAACACAAAGTTTTCTTGCCTTAAATAATCTTGATTACATTGTGAGAAGTCATGAAGTTAAAAATGAAGGTTACGAAATAGGACACGATGGAAAATGCATTACTGTATTTTCTGCCCCAAATTATTGGTAAAACGAATGAAATTATGTTATGCAAAGATCCCATATCATTGTTTGATATCATTAACTTTAGTTATAAATTTTTAGTGACACAATGGATAATAGAGGTGCCTTTATCACGCTTAATGGAAAAGACATGACACCATGCTTCACCTCATACGAAGCAGTGGTATGTATTTTTTTCTTTTCTTTTCTTTGTCATACAACAAAATTAATTAATTTTTGTATTTGTTTTCCAGCCTCATCCAAATGTAAAGCCAATGATATACGCTAACCCGTTAATAAAATTCATGTGCTAGTGGAACACCTTATGTATATTATTGAAAAACAAATAAATAAATAATGATAACTAAGTACGAGTAGCCCAATCAAAGTGTGTATGATATATTTGATACTGAAAGAGAGAAGGTAAAAACAACTTATGCTTCTCTACAACAATAATTATTGTATTCTTTTAGGAGCTAGATAATTTTCTGTATCATAGTATATGCAAAGAATGCATATTGACGGGTACAAAACTGAAAGAAAGTTTGCTTGTTTAATCAATTCGCAAACATAATTATCAAGTTCTCTTGTCTATGATAAGATCAACGCCTCATTAATACATCAGCAATTTGTGTTTTGCTTATAAAGCAAAATAATACACGAAAGGAATATTTCTATTTTGTACCCTTGATGAAACCACCATATTCATTAAAGATTAAACATATTTGCGCACAAATGAAAAATATGGTCTATGAAAAAGATTTCTAATAAAAAATATTATGTTAGTATATTTGCATATAAAAAAAAAGGCAAAACTCTCTGTTATTTGTTACTTTATTCATTTATTCTTTACTGGATAATGGTGGTTTCTTTTATAAGACAGTGAATATTACATATATATAAAAGAAAAAAAAATCTAATAGATATGCGATTTGGCATGACTATGTAGTACAATATTCCAGCCAATCACTTTTTGTCACATCATTTGTGACTACTTTTTTGCAAACTTATCGTGATTGGTAGAATTCATTTAACCGAATATTTTGTTTTGTTAAATAATAAATAATGCTTATAATGTACATAAAATATGTGTTATCTTTTGAACAAACGTTTAAATACGAAAAATATTAGCAAAATACTTACGACAGCATAGAAACTATTTCATTTGGCAGATTATTTCGATTGGCAAGATTAACGTTTATAATCTTAAATCTTTTATCTTCGTGTAGCTTTTGAAATATCACTGGAAAACGTGGTATTTTATGCTTTTGCGGTATGGTAGCAATGATAAAAGTCTTCTTATTCGGCGAATTAAAAAATATATTGTATATTTCGTCGTGAAACTTTTTACTGCACATTTCCATTTTTCCAATCTCGTCAATCAATAATATATCCTGTTGAACAAAAATGAATTAGCGCGGAGAGAAATTATAAAATTAATTAAATACATTGATACTTACCGTATCAGTTTTTATAACAGGCAGAACAAATTTTTCAAAATTGTCAACAAACACATGATAATTTCCAATGCGATGTTTAGAAAATTCTTGTTGACTTAATCTAATTTTGTTTAAACGTTAAGTATTAATAAAAGAAAGTGTATAAATAATTGATAAAGAACAAGAAACTAACTCGGTGCGTGCTAAAGGTATCCTCTTCTCTTTATCTTTAATAATTACAATATCAAATCCTATTCTACTTCCATTTACCCCACGAACTTCTTCCGTATAAAATCCATCTAACGTACGATTTTGTTTTTCCAATATGGAAGCAATATTCATACAAACCGTGGTCTTTCCTATTCCTACAAAAATAGAAAAATAGAAAAAAAAAGAACGAAATGAATGAAATACGAAAACAATTACAATAATAGTTTTGAAAATAGAAATAAGATTTTTTAAAAAGTCGCGGTAAATACCGGGTGGACCGGTGAGAAGTACGCAAGAAATGAACGAGGTGGCGCTGGAATACATGTTGCTCAGTAATCGTATTTTCGTGTTTACGAATGAAATGGTTATCGGCCAACCAAAAGTGATTTTCAGACAAAGAGACGAAGTCTAACGATAAGATAAATAGAAGATAGAAGAACAAAATAGTGACTTTATGTGGATCGACAAGAATAATGTTTTTACGTGTAATAAGAAGACTGTTATTAAAGAAAAACAAATGCGAGAATGGTCAGAAGCACGAAGCAAGGTACGGAAACACTCGAAGTTGCGGCTCGAACTAACCGCGAAGAGGGATACATCTACGGCGATCAGCTGATCGACAACTCGAATTCTCAAGAGGAGACAACAGAGCGTGATCGGGTAGCCTGAGCAAAAACTCGCGCGTGTCTCTATCTCACCTAACGTATAACTGCGTGCGCGTTGGCATTGGATGCGTGACTGTTAGGACTTCTAGACGTTTTATACGTAAGTTAAAAAAGTTAAGCTAACCAGCCGTCAACAGCATGTATCTATCTCATTAAAAAAAAAAAACAATTGACAATTTAAAGAATTATTTTTCGAAAAGAAAAATAATAATAAGCGTTTCGATTTATTAACTGTTTTTCCATTTTTTACTCGCAGTTAAATATGCGTGTGTGTGTCTTTCTCTCTCTCTCTCTCTCTCTGTCTCTCTCTCTCTTTGTCCATCCCACTCTTTCTCTCTTTCTTTCTCTCCCTCTCCCCGTCTCCCCACTCTGGTTTCTTTTTCTTTCTCTCTTTCTCCGTTGGGACTGCGATTCTGTTACAGTTTCCTACGCAAGAAGGGAGGGGTAAAGGAGATAAGGAAGGAAAGAAAGTTGAAGCAAGGGTGATATTTTGGTAAGAAGGATAACGAAGACACATTGTCGCTATATAGATGGAAGAAAGAGAAGAAAGGTGAAGAAGGACGGTGGTGTTATCCCTTTTGGTGTACGTGTCGTCGTGCCGATAACCACAGAGAAGAAATGGCTCGTCCTTCCAATTCTAGTCCTCTTTCCTACGTTTTCGCACGACAGATCGATGACAAAATCGACCACTGTAAAAGACTCGTTAATTCGAGATTTGTTGAATCCGAAAACTTATTTAGAAAAGATCTCCTATCTCATTACGGTTGTGTCAACGCCATCGAATTTTCACGTCAGGGTGATCTTCTGGTATCTGGTAAGATTTCTCATTCGACTTTACATATTTTTCTATATATATTTTCAATTATTGCGTCAATATATTCGTCGAATTTAAATGTCGGAGGTCGACGAAGGATCGAAATGTTTTTAGTTTGGGTCGGACAAAAATATATTTTATAAAAACATTTGATTTCGTATCTCTTTCGTAATTGTTAGCTTAAATTCATTCGATACTTCTCGTGCCATACGTATTTTTCTATAGATCTTTTTAATTTGCCTTTTAAATGTAGAATAATACAAGAGATTAATTAATTCAATTTTATATTACAGGCGGAGATGACAGAAGAGTTTTATTATGGAAAGTAGAACAAGCGATACAAGGTATTGGAAAACCTACTGTTATGAAAGCTCAACACGTTAGTAATATATTTTGTCTCGGATATGACAACAGCAAAACTAAGATATTTTCTGCGGGAAACGATGATCAAGTTATAGTTCATGATTTGCAAACGTAAGTAGTTCCAAAGTTCGTTAAATTTTAATTAGAACCTTATTAATCTAATTGCTATAAGTTATTATATTGTATTACATTGATATACGATACATATGTACAGATCAAAATTTTACTTTGACATTATAGTTGCGACGTCCTCAATTTCTTCCTACACGAAAAGCCTGTATACGGTTTATCCATTCATCCTCATAACGATAATGTTTTTGCAAGTGCTTGCGATGACGGAAGAATTTTAATTTACGATATTCGAGTATCAGGTGCCATGGAAACTTTTTGTCTAGCACAATATAAGACACCCTTTCATTCTGTTATGTTCAATCCAGTCGAACCCAGAATGATAGCCACTGCCAATGCTAAAGAAGGAGTTAGTATGTGGGATATAAGAAGACCGCTGAGGTATTAAATCTAAACTTGATAAGAAATATATACGATATCTAATATTAATTAAATACAATTTTAATATTAAATTGTTAATGCAGGCCCATGTTGCGTTATGGAAATGAAAGTCCAGCTCAAAGTTGCATGAATGCAAGATTTAATTTAGCTGGGAATAGGTTGTTAGCATTGAGGAGAAGGCTACCACCAGTCTTATATGCTGTCGACTCTTCTTCCTACCTATGTCAATTTGATCATCCAGGGTATTACAATAGTTGTACGATGAAAACTTGTTGCTTTGCTGGTGATAATGAAGAATATGTACTCTCGGGTATTTAACATAATATATATTTGTAAAATTATAAAATGTCAAAATATATATTATATTAATTTCATTTTTTTAGGTTCAGACGACTTCAATCTTTATATGTGGAAGATTCCATCCGAAGGTGTAAAGTGGGTAGATTCCGCTCATATGGTTTTACGTGGTCACAGATCGATTGTTAATCAAGTTCGCTATAATCAATCGAGTTGCGTACTCGCATCATCTGGAGTTGAGAAAATTATCAAGATCTGGAGTCCATTTTCTTTGGGCGGCGGATGTTTAGGTGGCCTAAAGGTATTTAAAGGTATAATAATTATTTTCTATATTTATAAACAACGGATTTATTAATCGAATTAATTTCTTTTAGCGTGATGCTGGAAAACAAGAAAGGCAACGTCGAGTATTTACGCACGACGAATACATTGGTTTAGTATTACGTAGCGGCCAATTTATGACCCATGATTATAGTCATCAATCAACTAGGGAAGATCCAAGAATGATGGCATTTTTTGATTCCTTAATACAACGTGAAATTGAAGGATGGAGTTCAGAAGACATGCCAACTGCATCGCAAACTCCTAGCGATTCGGAAAATAATCCTACGACTGGACGTACCTATAGTGCAACAGATTCAGATGGTATATCAAATATTTTTTATATTCATTTAAACCTAGCATTAGAAAATAAAACATTTGCTACATTTTTATCTCCTTTTTTTGTTAATTTTTAATGTTTTTTTTTTTTTTTTATACAGATTCTATCGCGTCAGACCGTCACATAATGTTAAGTGTTCTAGGATCGGCAGTAAGTTCTCGTAGTTCGTACGGGGGTGGTGTTGCCCCTGAACGGCCGCTAGAATCACCTAATAGAATTACGCAACTCATAGCAAATCGTAGAGAAAAGCTTATGAGACTCGCCGGGCTGGAATGTGCTACGGCATTAAATAATTCATCTAATACAGTTCCTGAACCTTCTGCTTCAGGCTATGTTAGTGAAGGGGACAATTCGCAAATAAAGTGTAGATATAAGCCAAAATCAAAATTAAAAGGTGTGAAAAGAAAACACGGTAGGATATCTGGTAGGAGGAGCAGAGTTAGAAGAAAGTGTACTGTGTTAAAAATTCATAGTGACTCTGATAGTGATGAGCAACCTGTTGATGCGACCCAACCGAGTACCAGTTCAGGAGTCATTTCTAGGAGATCACGATATACTACCAATGCATTAGAAAATGATTCTAAGCTTCTTTCAAGTTACAGCAGCAGTAGTTCAGAGGATAATGATCATTCTGGAAAACAGAAACATTTGAAAACCGATTCAGATTCTTCCATAAAAACTCGCAGAAAGAAACATAGAAAATGTAAAAATAACATTAAACGTGATTCTAGTAAAAGTAAAAGCAAGCAATTACAACTCGATAACGATGGCGGAGGGGAAAGTATTAAAAAAGAGTATGTAAATGGTACTAGTACAACAAAAAATCAAGAGGACGAAATCTCCACACCAGTTAAGAAATTGTGTAAAGTTCCTTCGACTCCCGATAGTGGTATTACATCTGGAGTATCTACTATCGAAAAAAATAGTAATGAAATACAAAAAGGGCATAATGGTGCTGAGAGCTCTGATCACGAACAGAACTTGAAAAGTTTGGAGTGTTTCAGAAAAAAAGTAGACGTAGCAAAAAGAAGCTACCGCAATCGATCTACGCCTTTATCCCAAACGATTTCTACTACAACAGATTCTTCCGATTAATGTCCTCTTACCTCTAAGCTATTAATCCCTTTCCCTTTGTACATAATAAATCTGTGATTCCTTGAAGTATATTTTTATAATACTAAGTTTGATCATACGTAAGAACTGTCGGTTTTTCTATTGTGTCTTTTTAGGTTTTATCAATATTATACTAGTTCTTGCGAATCTCCTGCATTTTATCATACTTTCTTGATGCAACAAAAGACTGTTATGATTAAACTAAAATTTCCTATATCTCTACATTTAGTACTCTTCATATTTGAATTTGTTACAACATTATTATTACAATGAAATTTAAAGTAAAATTAAATACTTTGTGTTGCTTTTTATTTTGATATCAGTCCTACTTACAAAGAAACCGACAGTCTAATCGGGCATGAAAAATTTGTTCTTTTTATTGCAAAGTAGAAACGTTTATAGAAATCGATTTTCAAATTCCATTTAATCTAAACTATCGGAACATCACCAAGAATTGTAGTTAAATCAATACTACATTAGCTATAATATTATAATCTAGCTAATGTATACTGTTAATAATATGGTTTATAAGTGTGATGGAAATTAATAAAATAACAAATTGATACATACATATGTATATATATATATATATATATATACGTACGTGCATACATACATTTCTTTTTATGTGTTGGAACTTTAAAAAATGATTATAAATACGTCATAATTTAATCTTGCATTTATACATCCTTATTAACTAATTACAAGTAAATAAAAATCATTACTTCAACGTATGCATTAATTTATTATTAACATATGTCGTATATTAAAGTTCTTTTATTTATATTTCTTTTTTAATTGGTTGACATATATCTGATCTAATTATGACTCATAAGTAAGTGATTGTGGTTTCCTGGAACACATACTTTCCTTCTAGGTGTATAACTTATAATGAAGCATCTTAATAGTCCGCAGTTCTATCCAACTACTTATAAATATATATTTATTCAGACCATTTTTGTCCAAAATTTATTTTTTCTAAATATTTTCAAATGTTGCTTTGTGGTTTTTTGTTTAAAATCTTTCTTTCTAATACGTTAGCTTATAATTTGGATATTACCAATGTTATTAAATTTGTTATTCCACAAAAATTAAAAGATACACGAAGTAGTTATTTTGGATATTCTACTGCTCTGTATAATAATGGTAAAAATGTTTCCGGAGTACTTATCGGTGCACCAAGAGCAAATACCAGTGATCTTCCATCTATATTAGAACCAGGAACCGTTTACATGTGTTTGTTTAATAATGTATGTAAGGAATGGGTCGTTGACAAATCTGAAAATGAATTCTATGAGAATAGAAATAATTCATGGATCGGAGCAGTTGTTATGACAGGGAATAATGGAATTAATTCTAAAGTTCTGGTTAGTTATCAAATTTATTTTTTGAATATTTTCTTTCAAATAATTTATTTCTCTTGGATAGGTTTGTGCTCCACGATTGATAAAAAAATGTGGTATAGAGTGGTATATAACTGGTATGTGTTATTGGACCACTGCCACTAGCTTAAAATCATTTGAAAAAGAATCTGAGAAAATATCAGTCGATGGCGATTATGTTAAATTGCATAATTATCTTAAACGTGAATATATATATCATTTTGGAATGGGTCAAGTTGGTTTTTCGGCAGATATAAGCTTCGATAAATCAGAATGGAATGTTGCTTTGGGTGGCCCAGGTTTATTTCATTGGAAAGGTGCCGCGGTATATTTTACAGAATCAACTTCTGGTTTTAAACAAACTATTACCGCAAATAATAAATTGGACTCTTATGATTATTTAGGTATAGATATTGAATTAACATATTAAGTTTCAATAAATTATAATATATATGAATAAATATTATATTTCAGGATATTCAACAACTTCCGGATTTTATTTTAGCAAAACAGAACGATTGTTTGCGTCAGGTTCGCCGAGAGGTAATGATATGAAAGGATGTGTTATAGTATATTCTTTTTCCAAACATTCAGAAGAAGATATAAATATTAGTAATACCCTGAACGGTTACCAATGTGGAGAATATTTTGGAGCTACTTTGGCATCGTGTGATCTTAATAATGATGGTAGAGATGATTTAATTGTCGGTGCACCTTTTTGGACTAGAGATATGGATGAGGGTCGAGTATACATCTTTATTGCATGGGAAAATGTACTTTTATGATTTCTAGTTATTTCTATATGTTTTTATTATTTTGATTGATTATCTAATATCTTTGTTTTTTTTTGCAAATGAATGTAGAATAATTTTATAAAAGGATTAGAAATTGAAGGTGATGTAAGTGGAGGAAGATTTGGCTCTTCTATAACATGTTTAGGAGATATTGATTATGATGGATACAACGATATAATAATTGGGGCACCATATGAAGGAAATAGCGGTGCGATATATTTATACAACAGTGATAAAAATGGAAATTTAAAATGTAGTCAAAAGATAGTTGGTTCGGAATTTTCACCAAATGTTCGTGGATTTGGTATATCAGTATCGAAACCTTTGGATATAAATGGCGATAAATATCTTGATATTGCAGTAGGAGCTTATTTGTCTGAGCAAGTTTTTCTCTTAACATCCATACCTGTTGTTTCAATAGCAATAAATCTTGTATATCCTGATAAATCATTGTCTAGAGATTCCAAATTTTTTACCATTAATATTTGTACTAGTTATAAAGGTGTACACGCTCCTATGGAATTAAGTAAGTTTTGCAGATTTATATTATCAGAATATATGGCTTAATATAATATGAAAATATTCACACACATATAACATTATAATGGAAATATATTTTTAACAGATATTACTCGTTATTTGGAAATAGATCTGTTATATGAAAGAGCAGTATATTTGAAAAATGAAAAAACATATTTTACCTGTACTTTACCAACTGCATTAAAAATATCCGAACGTCAATGTGATTCGTTGAAAATTCATCTTAAAGTAATTAATTTTTCTTATTCAATATTTTGATTGTGTATTTGAATAAATTAAATAACATATATATTGTTCCATGATTCTAGAACAATATTCAAAATGTGATTGATCCGATTACATTATCTGTGGTAGTAGATATAAATAATAACACGCAAGAAGTTAATAAGTCAAGCAACATTGTTCATAGATCATCAGCAGTAATAAACAAACTAAATTCAAAAATTAAAGATGTTATTCAGTTACCATTTATGTTAGAATGTGGTACTGATGATATTTGTAACTCAGACTTACGAATATCTCTTCGAACTAATTTAAAATCTAATAATACATACATTATTGGATCAGCATCAGACCTTAAACTTATTATTAATGTTCATAATAATGGTGAGCCCGCTTATCAAACACAAGTACACATTTATATTCCAAATCCCTTGTTATTAGCAAGTATACCTACGGCATGCCTAGAATCAGCTCGGACGAATGAAGATGTTTTGCATGTCATTTGCAAGATTGGAAATCCTCTTACCAATGAAAACAACGTAAGTTCTCTTTCTTCTTAATACATTACTATGTAAATTAATAATAATACAAAATAATTAATTACTTTAGAAAACAATTGTATTAGAATTGGATACAAGTAAAGTTCGTTTTGATGTCAAGAGTTTGGAACTATTTGCAAATGTTTCTACTCAAAGCAAAGAAATTAATGAAATTAAAAAAAATTATACTATGACTATTTACTTTGATATCGACGTTGACATAGCTATAGCAGGGTAAGTATTATAATATTTATCAATAAACTATAGTGTCAAAGAATATTTTTGTAATCATAAAATCATCTATTTTAGAAAAGCTCCAGACAATGTATACTCATACTCTCAGGAAGATGAAGGAAGTTTACAAAATATCCAATTTAAACATATTTACGAAGTGCAAAAGTTTGGACAAAGTCCAATTAACGAAGCTGCTTTAACGATAGAGATTCCAACACTTTTGAAAAGTACTGATTATGATATAGAATTGATTAGTATAAATCAAACTTCTGCTCATATGGATGGTAATATTCTTAACTTGAAAATCAATGACATGGATGATAGTAAAGATTTTCAGACAAATATTAAATTTCTTGGTGATGGTCAGTTTGACGTCAATAATACATCAATAATTACTTCACCTGGAAACAGTTTAAAAAAAACGACAAATGCATCTCTTGAAAATAGAGTACTGTTCATTAATTGTAGTAATCAACAAATTGTGTGTAAAAGAATAGAGTGTAAATTAAATCCTTTTACAAGTTCTTTATCCGTCGCCCAGCTCATAATTACTTTAGATTTTAAAGTGTCAAATATTTTATGTAAGTTTGATAATTATTTTACAACAGATAGCTAAATTATTTCTATATTGTAATCTTTATAATTTCTTACTTGAATTTTTGTATTTTAGCATCCTTTTTAAAAGAAAAAAATATAATATTATTTGCGTCTAAAGGCAGGGTGAACATCACTCAACCACCTAATGTTATTCAAGGAAGTACAAATAAACCAGATAGTACCATCATAATTACAAAATTCCAAGGATCTCCAATAAATGAACGCGTAGCCGTGTGGATAATAGTTTTATCAATATTTCTTGGAATCGTATTTTTCATATTAATTCATCTAGTTCTCATTAAGTTGGGTTTCTATCAAAGAAAGAAAAAAGAACAACTGGAGGCTTTAAAAGCTATGTCAGATGTAAGTTTATATACATTATCTGAACAAATACGTTCGTATTATTTTATATTTTCATTTCGAATATTTTAGAGTAAAACTCCTACGGTTCTAGAAACAACTTCGTCTGAACTTGTTGATCCAGACAGAGTAAGTGAATAAGAAATATGTTATTAAAGCTTTTTTTTCATGTCTTCTAATTTATTTTTGAAAACAATTATAATAAATAGCAACGTGCATAAACGTTCATTACAATCGTATAACATGTAAAATAGAATATATATTCATTTTAAAAACCACAATTCTTTATAAAAATATAAGTCGTAAAAATAGCAACATATTTGGTAAATTTATTTGTGCTATTGAGTGTAATCTGTGTTATAGAGCGTTAGCAAATAACGAAAGAAAGTTATATAGTGTGATGTATAATATTAAAAGAAAACCCTTATTGCACTAATTTTACTGGAGAGCATTAATACGTAGTCGCATCACGCGTATTGGAAGATCTTTGTTATTCAAGACGACATGAATCAAAACGTGAAGGTGATATTAATCGCTTCCGTTAACCTGTTATTGTATCTTGTTAATTATATATTTTCTCTTTATCAACTGTTAGAAGAGATATTTGGTAAGTCATAATAACGAACATATTATGAAACATTTGGCAGTAAGCATTTTTGATACTTTTGTTATTTAAATATGAATTTTGTATAGGCCAGAAGCGTATTTTTTTACTTTTATATATACTTTTTGTCTATATTTATAATTTATTCTTAAACCACACAAGAGAACTGCAAGTTTAATTGCAGGTATAGAAAATGCAAAACTTAATACTTCAGATCTTTGAAAAAGAGAAAGAGAGAGAAAAACATTAATATCGAATAATTTTTCTTAACTAGAGGCACTTCTCTTGTTTTCACCTCATCTACAAAACGGAGTATTTAATCATCGAGACCAAGTCCTTTGGATATTTCTTCTGCCGTCATTTTGTTTCCTCCTGATTCAGGAGGCTTGTTCATATATGCGGAAGGCATTGGTGTATTTGATGGTACATAACTCGGAGGTTGTTCATGGGATTTCTGTATTACAAAATTTGACAAATAGATCAATAGTATGAAAAGTAGTCAAATATATAGTAATGATATTCATTTTTCTACTCACATCTTTTCCGTGTTTGCTTAATCCATCCATAGCAGAACTAAATAATGAAGAACCAAGGGCAGAACCTATACCAGACAAGAAGCTCGAACCACCAGATGCAGGTTGAGATCCTCCATACGGTGCTGAATATCCACCATAGCCTCCCGATGGTTGGTATGCTGGTTGTTGAGCTCCACCACCTCCAAGAACTCCACCAAGAATAGATCCTAATGCTCCACTTAATGGGTCAGTATTACTTGGTGGTGGTGGTGGTGGTGGTTGATATGCTGGCCGTTGTGCTCCAGCTCCACCTTAAAAAAAAACAAATTGTAAGAATATGTAATGTCATTAATTGTTCCTTCAAAAAATAACGTTAGTTCACAGAAATCATTTTCTTCCTCTTATAACTTTTTGTTGAATTATTTTTTATATGTAATACCTAATGCTCCAAGAATAGAGCCAAGAACATCGCCACCAGGTCCTTGAGAAGGATAGCCTTGTTGCGCATGTAAATTCCTTTGTATAGCGCTGGTTGCTATATTGGTGGCTATAGCAGTAAGTGTACTTGAAAGTGCAGAACCACTTTCACTCTTTGTATTAGGAGCGTCTGTTTTTCCCATTTGTTCCTCTTCTTTCTTTCTCTGTAATGTTTAATCAATGTTACATTTTTTTCGTTTTCAATAGAATAATAATTACTCAAAGTTGGAATGCATACATTGGCATATTCCATGGCAACCATACTACCTGCAGCAGCTAATCCACTCCAAGGTATATTACTGAACAAACCACCGAATGAATTTTCTTTCTCACCCGATTGATTATTTTCTGTAGAAGGACCATAAGGAGAAGGTGGTGGACCGTAACCCGGAGGTGGAGGACCATATCCCGGAGTTGACTTAGTGTCTAAACTTGGATACAAGCCACCTGGTGCTGTTTCAATCAACAACATTGATATGGTAATTATCTTTAAGAATTATTTTGTAGAAAAAAATATTAAGAATAGAAAAAATATTAATAAATTCTTACGAGGAGGACCAAATTCTGCAGACGGAACTGACGGCATAGGTGGGGAAGAACGTGCTGATCCAATGGGTACATGTTCATAAATAATGCTTGATACTTCAACGTCACCGTCGATCACTAAATGCGTTACTTTTTCGTACGGTAATCGATGCGCAAATTCTGCAAAGTGTCTGCCATTTATAGCAATTTTATAATTTGCATGATCGCATAAAATAATCATTTCAAATTCTTGACCAGGTCGTATGCACAAGGGACCTTCATCCTCGTTAGCTCCCCATGTCATAGATTCGATATGGTTTCTTGTAATAACACCCTCAGAAAATCGTGGTGATATATGAAGGGCTATATCATCCCTTGGGTTTAATATCGGCCCTAATTGATAATTGACAGCAAAGCGTACAGCATTTTCAGGAACTTTACCCCGGATCCTTACCATTTTTCCAGGTTCTAAACCATTTTCAACCGTTCCCACATAAGGAATTTCCTAAAAAAAAGATAATCAAAAAGAAATTCATTTATTAAGACAGTTCGTTTACATGACAGCTCATGTTTATTAATAAAAGGTGCGGTAATATATTACCATCATCAATATAGTTTAATGTAACAGCAATGCGGATAATATTAATGTACCGGATAACTCATATTTTATTGAGAATAGATATACATAAATGGTAATAAAATAATAAAAGATTAACTTACCGGATTTGTTGCAACTTCTGTAGCCATTATAATATAAATTAGTGTAATACAATTTAAGAGAAAATGATAGATATTCAACTGTACGTCACTACTGCGTACAAAAAATATGACGCGCAGCTTCTTGGCCTTCGTTTATATACCAACTTCTATTTGCAGTGGTGACGTATCGGTATGACACAATTTTAACTGTAAAGTAAAGTAAAGTTTAGTTCCTCTCGTAAGTAACAGATGATGCTAAAATCTTCTTCTAATACTGATTTTGATCACTAGGTGATGTTAACGTTATGATTGTGTACAAAATTCGTTAACAATAAAGTTAAGTTTGTTCACACGCAATTCGAAAGGTTATTAATTAATTTAAAGTAAAGTTCATATAAAAGGAAGATATATGTTTAGTTTATATTTTCATCAAATTTTCGACCGCTGACATTGAATTGTTTATCTTATTAATTAATTATTGTGGATTTCGTTAAAACGATCGGTAAACACTGAATACAATTAACTGATATTTCAAATTACAATAAATAATATTGACAATTCTTCGAAATAAATTGATTGTCTGACAATAAGATTAACAAAACTAAATTTGGTTTCATGATTTTCAATATAAAGTGAACGTTTGTTTTTGATACATTTTATTAAAATAATTTAGCAAATTGTTCATACACGTTGCGTATCATAATATAATATAAATATTTAGTGATCTATATATTATAAATCATGTTAAAAACAAGAAAAATAGGTTATTCCATAAGGAAGAAAATTAGAAGTAATCAGACCAAGGTTAAGAAGAAGAAGAAGAAATGTAGGTCTGTACTCAGATTATTTTCTTATCTTTGAATATATATTTTAATTTTTTAATAATGCAACATAATTTCAACAATGAACAATGAACTTACAGCAAATCACGAAAAAAAATGAAAACAAATGGGAGAGTGGAAGAATATAAGCCATCAGATTTGCTTACTGTAAGTATTCATAAATTTTCTACAATTTGTCTTATATAAATTAAGCTATTTATGTGTTTTCCATAGACATTGAATTATATGTATTTCTTTCAGATGAATGGTTCTTCGCCTGGACAATCTCACAGTTCCTCAACTACTCAACTAAGTAATCCTCCTGATCAGAAAAAAGTAGAAAAATATTCTGATACGAAAGCGATAGTTCCCTTTAATAATAAGAAAATTATTCTTTTACATAAAAACAAATATACGTGGGAACAATCTCAAGACGATCTTTTCCATTTCCTTCATACACAACGAATTAGGTTAACTCTTCCGAATCGATCATGGTCAATACATTTTACGGATAAACCAATACGTTCCATTGTTATTAGCGAAATTACTTTATATTGCAATAGCATGTCTGGATATATACCTCATTACTTAAAACAAGTATGGATTAGGTTTATGTTATCTTATTCTATTGTAACAAAAGTTTCTCTCCTTTTTTATTTTTTTTAAATCATTTTATTTTATATTTTCTTTCAGGTTGTTTTGCATGAAAGAATGGCATATGAAATTTTTTTATTCAACTCGAAAATTATAGATGATTTATCTCCGATAGAATCAGTACCAGATCTAATGAAGGTTATATCAAAAATAAATAATGTAAAACTTTGCTACGGTGGACCTGAAGTAAGTTCCTCTAAAAATATTAATTTAGAATGCGCTTATAAAGATAACAACAAATGGAGACATAATTTATGCACTATGAGAGTAAGCAAGGGTGATACATGCGCGTCATGTCTTACATTAGAAGATAAATTAAAAAAATGTATAGAACGTACCAAACGATTGAAAACTAAGACCTCCAGTAAATCGCGTAAAAGAAAAAGAAAATCTTGATATAATAAATAACCTTTAAGCGATAAAGTAACGTTTGTGTTTCTTTTCATTGATCTCGTTATTTATTTCTAAACAATGAAGCATTTTATCGATGCGTCAGAAATCATATTACTTCCTGCAAACTTTTTGCGGAATATGTGTGAAAATTCAATGCATGAAATTAATCCATTTTTCGTATTTGAGTATTTCTATTTTTGTATAATATAGTTTCTAGTATGCAATATTCAAATAGTTTTGTGTTACAAATTGTGTGATATGATTTTTATACATATACATATATATTTTATTAATTTATATAGAAATTAATTAAAAAATAAGATATTCATTTAAATATATACTTATGACATTAATTGTATGTATGTTTATAAGTTCGTTGGTTTTACAATTAATGTTCTTTATAAGTATATATTAAACATACATTACATTATAAATAAAAAGAATAAATTTTAGAATAGAATTTTTATAATATAATAGCTTTTTCGTAAAATATGTATCCGACAATCCAAGATTCTGAAAAGAACGACACACATTTAGGAAGCAGAAGGATCGTTTATTTAAAACGTACACTTAACGATTCTTTATTAGAGACTGTTATAATTTATTTCATATAAACATTTGATACAATTTGATGTTTTTACTTTAAGTGTTTATTTTTTAATCGGAATTAATACAGTAATTAGATTCTATAGAATACAATATATTATAGTTAAATGAATGGAGTAATGAAAAGTGATCAAGATTCGATTTGGCATGATATACAATGATGACGTTATCAGTGTACTTTGATAGAATTTAAAATGAACCTTTTTTTTTCTCGTGAGCAAATATTTTCATTGTAAAAGAATAAAGCGATAAGAGTAATATGTTATCTAAAAAGGGTGCACACACACACCAAAGGGATACCGCCGCCGATCGTTCGTTCAATTTCGAATAAATTGAAGAATTTCATCGAATTCGAAAACTCGGAAAGGCCAGGCATTTTGTTTATTCGCTAATTACATATTTCATATATTTTTGTAACAGTTTGGAAAAATCAAAAGAAACACGTTTCTTCTTTTTTTATATTTATTATAAACACGATTGATTCTTGATATTAATCCTTTCGTTAGCAGCAACCTATATAAAGATCGGTATAAATTCGATAGCGAAAAGTATGTCGTAACGAAAGGGTTTCAATTTGATCAATTTAGAATAGATTTTTGTATACTCGAGACAAGAGAAGTATTTGGAAAAATAGTTCATTTTATAAAAGATATGTTCGCGTATAGCCACATCCGCAAACGTTGAGATATACGGCTTGCATATTATCAAATGATATCTAATAAAAATTATTATTAATGATAATATTGCGAAAATTAGAATAAAATTTTTGTCAACTTTTTTATATTGTTATTATTATTATTATTTCCAGTCAAAAACATATTTAAAATCTACTTTACAATCGATGACAAAGGAAGTTTTTATTTTTATCGACAGTTTCGATTTTAGAGTTCGATGTTTGATAAAGAATCGCAAGAAAAAATACATATCGTTGTGGAAAATTCACATGTATATATATATTGTATATGTGTATGTATATCATTATTTTAATGACAATGAGTTTCATTGGTATACATAGGTGTGTATGTATCCGTTAAGCGGATAGGCTTTTTTATACTAAGAATAAGCTTTGTATGTATAAAATTGTTGACATTATTTAAAGGACCAACTTGAGATTTTCTCCTAAGAACGACTGAAAAATAGTAGTATGATCCGTTTGATATGAGCAGAGCTAACTGTATCTTATATTCTATCATATCTTACCCTAATCGTGTTCGTAAATATGTATATACCTTAATAATAAATATACAGTAAATATACATTTATATTCAAACAGTGACAAATGTTTTTCGCGCATCTTACGGAGATATTTTACTGACTTATATTTATCACGTTTTATTATTAATTTCTTTTTTTTCTCTTTTTTTTTCAAATGAAACAAAAGTATAACACGCTAAAAAGTATATTATTCATTATACAGATACATACATTTCTTCCTAATATATGTCCTTAGAACGTTAGAATGATTAATTATTATTTTGCACATATAATATTGAAGATTGTCTATGGATTTATTGATCAAAAACGCGAGTACATTGTCACTGTTTGAACACAGTGTTACTAATTCGCATCATATATGGACTAGATTCGCGCGATTATTTCTAATAATAATATTTTTCTTAATTGTTAAAGTATTGCAAGGAAAAGAACAAATATTTTTATGTTAGATGTTATTATGAGAGATTGGAAATGTGATTTTATATTTCTGTTTAACGTTTAAGCACTCAGATCTAGGTCGAAGCGAACTATTATGTTATACCAAATAAAAAAAAAGAATAAGAAAAAAGAACGAAAAAAAGTAGATAATGGTATACTTCTTTGATATTATACTTCGATTTTTAATATTAGGTATGATTTTTTTACAATTGGCAGCAAATATGACAATACGAAGTATGTAATCGAGAGTTTTTCTATTATTTCAATTTGCCATTTAAATAATATAATACGAAAATAGATGTAAATAAATAGCACTGATAATATGATTATGCCAAAGGAAGGTTTTTCTTCTCTTTTTTCTTTTTTCTTTTAACAATAACGCTCCGACCGTATAATAGTTAAATCTATTTTATTCATTTTATTGCAAAGTCAATTAGGATTTGCGTTAGGGAATAATCATAAGGGAACATCGTTGTATCGAGAGTAAATATTATTGCAGTGCTACACACGAACAACGCAGCAGTTTTAATATTGAAATAATTGTCACAGAAAATGATAATAATATTTTAATAATTAATTAAATAATGAATTCTTTCATTTCCATTCGTAATAAATAATATGTCGTGCAATCATTTGACTTTGCAAACGTGTGAATATTTGATGAAAAGTTTTAAAGTTATGGAAGGCTCGCTTAGTTTTGCTAAATATGCGTTACACATGTACATAAACGATGTATAAATTAATTAAGTACAAAAATTACAAACTTATTAACAGAATATATTGGCAAGACTGGGGATCGGCCGGATGAGAATACGTTTTATTTTCTTTAATTAAATAGCTCACGTTTATTTCACGTTTTATTATCTTTTTTTTGGGGAGATCGTGGGCAGGAAGAATGTTGAATTTTTTCTTTTCTTTTTCCTTTTCTCTACGTTTCATTTCATATCATAGTCTTCGACGAAATGTATTTGCATTTTCCTAAAAAGACATTTTAACAAGAAGAATCGTTAATTGAATAATTTAAACGAAAAATTAAAACAAATTGACCTCTTTTTATAACATTTAGAATTTGCCTATCAACATAATCGTTCCTTTATCTTTCTACAACATAGCAGTGTTTCGTCTCTTCACGGTGACCATGGGTCGAATGGTCAAGAAATTTGATTATCTCTTGAAGTAGCCAAATGTGCAAGAAAGCCATGATTCGCGTAGGAAATGTGTGTTCAATTCTCTATTCAAAAAATATCATTTTCGAAATTCCTTTTACCATTATTTATAATTTATTTATTGTGTGTGTATAAAATGTGATGATATGTGAAAAGTGATATTTCATTGCGAGAGAAGAGAAAAACATGTCTTTTGAAATTATCTTTTATCTAATATGAAGAGAGAACAGGAGATTTGTTTGTTTTTTTGTTTATTTGTTTCGAAGTATTCAAGCTTTTTAACACGGTGGTAGTGGTGGTGGTGGTGGTGAACTTAGAGAATCGCTTACGTGTACGCATGGAACATCGACAATATTTTTTTATTTTTTATAATCTTTGGAGTAAGTCGTAGGCACTTGCCACTCGCACGTAGCTTTAATCATACTTATCTAAAGTCTTTCAAAATTCACATCGTTCCTCTTTTTAACATTCTCCTTACAGATACTATGTATTTATGTATGTACGTATGCATGCATGCATATGTGTGTATGTACGACGCGTGACTACGACATACGCCCCAAGTATTGTTTAGGAAAGACATCGCTTACACGGTCTCTGTGCACGGTTTGCTTTTTCTCTATTTCTTTCTATCTTTAATCTTTTCCATTCAAATCTTTTTCTCTTTATCTCCTTTATTATTATTATTATTATTATTATTATTATTATTATTATTATTTTATTTTATTTTATTCTTCTATCCTTTCTTTTCTCACAATTCATAAATATTTCGTTCGTTCGAATATGCCTTTGAAGAATATTGCATTCGAAGATTTACCTAAGACGTATCACAGAATTAACAATTTCTTTTTTTTCTTTTTTTTTTCTTAATTAACGCGAACAAACGAACAAATAATAATAATTTAAACAAAACAAAAAGAAAAATAAAGAAAAAGAAATCGTAAAGTAATCGTAATAGTAAGCTAAAATGAAAACAAAAAATAATAATAAAACTCTAACGCGCGTTCGTCCATTATCATCCAGGATAAAGTTAGGGCGACAAAAAATAAATTAAATCTCGTAAGTGTGTGTTGCGTTTAGTTTAGTTGGATAATACACATTCGTAGAATAAATTTTGTGCTTTTTTTTTTTAATCGAATGAATGATATACCGTGCATGGTCTACTTGCACCGGTAAACGATCAATTAATTTCTTTGAAAATAGTAGCACGCTCATCTCGATCTCCCGTTTACCTAGGACGCTCCGATACACCTTTTAAAAGGGAACTAGACATTTTCTAATACGTCGTTTATTGTTAGTACTTAACTTTTTCTTCCAGTACCCTGATATCCTAGATAGAGATCACTCCGCTTATTATAAATTGATATTCGACGAAAGAATATAGAGGAAGGTGAAACGTTTTGAATTAGTTTCACGATAGCACTAGTTCCCCCCCCCCTCGCTGTTTTCTTTTTTTTTTCATTATTAATCGACATAGACGATTATACATAGAGATAGTGAAGAAGAAGAAGAAGAAGATGCTTGTCCTTATAACTTATAGATCGATATTACGGATAAATTAATATAATGAAAGATATTATACCACGTAATGAGTATATATTACAATACCATATGAATATTCTTACAAATTAATAGTTTAATCGGTATTATCTGTATGATACAGTCACGTGATTTGTAATCCGTCTCGGTGAGGACATCTCCATTGAGATACCTGAAAGTTGACGAGTAAACCGTGTGCGTTTTTCTTTCAACAGAATATTAATTGCAACAATTATGTCTATTAAAAGGAAAATAATTGATAATGAAATCCTTACCATGATCACCGAGATAAAGGGACGTTGTGGCGGTGATGGGGCTATTGGTTGAGCAGGGTGTTGGTCACCTCAGAGATGGACAACAAAGGACTCCCGGCGTCCGGTTTGGAATCTGTGGTACAGTTGATGCCACCGTTGCCCCCGTCGATGAGCCCACTACGTGATGGTGGTGGTGGTGCGGAGGATGATATAATACGTTGCTGTTGTTGGTGGTGCTGTCCGAGCCTAGGGACATGCCCATGCCCATGCCCATGCCCATGCCCATGCCCATGCCCATGCCCATGCCTATTCCCACCGCACTCCCCGCTCCCGCACCTGACGGCGGTGTGCTGTAACCAAAAGTATGTCCCCGTTGGTTACCTTACGACATCTTCGTCATGCCTAACCGTATCACTAACGTGCAATCGAAATGTGGGACTAATAATATCGATCACGACCTAACGATATTCGATCAATAAATAGATTTCTGCCTTTATCAACAACAAATTTTTTTTGATATATGTTTACTCTTTTATAGTTTCCATGCGATGACTTTATGATTCAAGTATTGTACATTCTACACGATACGAAGTCATTTTATTTCAATTCGACTTGGTGCGCAAAAAATGGAAGGGAGAGAAATAGAAATAGAAAGAAATCGAAATAGAGATAAATTAACGGATCTACAAAGTTACGAGAATTTGTACTTATTTCACCGTATTGTACTATTATTTAGGCGATCTCGTATCGTATGATGATATGACGGAGTACTTAAAGATCAGATTCGTTTATAAAAACAGTGAACGTCACAATAAAAGTAGTGAGGTAGCGGTGACACTCACTGGGGCGTGTGCCTTGGTGGTGCGGGGTGGTGATGGTGGTAGGGATAGTACTGGTAGTGATGGTGGTGTTGCACTCCTTGCCATACCTCGGAGCCCGCTTCCCCGTGGCCATGGCCTGGATGAGAGTGCGCGTATCCTATGCTGCTCGCTGTAGCCGCCGCCGCCGCTGCTGCTGCTGCGGCAGCTGCTTGATATTGGGTCGTGGCAACAGGATATTGTGCCTGATGTTGTTGCGATTGCGGTTGTTGTTGATGATGTTGCTGCTGCGATTGCGGCTGCTGCTGTTGTTGCTGCTGCTGTTGCTGTTGCTGCTGCTGTTGTTGTTGCTGTTGTTGTTGTTGTTGTTGTTGCTGTTGTTGTTGTTGCTGCTGCTGCTGCTGTTGTTGTTGTTGCTGCTGCTGCTGCTGTTGTTGAGGGTGATGCTGTTTGTTTCTCGGAGGACTAGAAGCCGTGACCGCTTGATGCTGATCACTCGGAGACGTTTGTCGCCACTTGCAATCACCGTTCATAGAATTCATTTCCGCGAGAGACTTCAAAGGATCACCGGCATTGGTGACCGGAACGTTTGTCGAGTGTGTAGAAGAATGCGTCGAATGAGGAGTCGGAGGGCTGTAGCTACCATTGTTCCTCGGTGGCGTACGAGAAGGTGGAGCTCCCCACATGAGAACCGTTTGCCGTGGCGCCTCGTTTCCGTAGACTTCCGGCTTAACGTCTTCCATTTTGGGAGTAAGGACTCCGTTGGTCGTTCCGGTAACCGGTGAACTTCCGGCCGAGTTACTCGAAGAGGCACCGCCTTCGAGCGAGTGCCTACTACCGGCGCGAGCGACGTTGATGTCTGCGGTCGTAACGTGCATCGTCGACGCACTGGCGACTGGGCTGGCCGCGTAAGGGGAACCACTCACGCTACTCGGATGTCTGCTTGCTTCGACGTAGTTGTATTTCGGTGACTCGGCGGTACCGAGTTGCTGACAATACAGTTTCTCCTCCGTTTTGCTGGTTAATTGATGAGTCTCGTAAGTTGGTAGGGATACGTCGATGAACCCATTGTACGGCGTACTCGTGTGATATTCTGGGTAGTACGATCCTAGTGGCCTGTATTGAAAGAGATTCTCCGTAGCCGCTGTAAGGTACCTAATTATGACAAAAACTATCGTGAGAACTAACGCGTTATTATGAAAGACGAGTCGATGTTAGGTTTTGTAAGTAGACTTTGAAGTACCTGTTATCCAACGCAGTGGCTGGGTAGAGCGTTTGATGGTAATTACTCGTATGACCGATGTAAGTAGTCAAGGATGGATCGGCGCTCGCAGCTACGGCAGTGGGGGCGTAAGGTGTAGGATACATCGTGTTCAGGTTGCTGTAAGCTGCAGCCACTGCGGCAGCGGCACTACTATCGGCCGTGAGATAATCCACCGATGCCATCGTGGGAGTAGCTGGGGGTGATACTGAGGATTGCGTGGAGAGTTTGGTCCTTTTACTCCGACACGTCGATAAAAAGTCGCGCAATTGAGTTTTGTATCTTCTGTTCACCCTTTGCGGCGTTGATTGGGTTGGAAGCGTAGGTGTCATCACGGAACCCGTCAAACTATCACTGTCGGAAAAGTAACTGTTGGTTAAACCGGCGTCCAAGTAGCTCACTTTGAAGTCCATGGTTCGTTTTCCCAACAGATCTCTACCTTCCTCTTCCCTGCGATCGAAGATAAAGAAAATCTTGTAGCATTTTCGACACTAAAATTATTCTATTCATTACTCATTAAATTTCAATAGTATACTAACATCAACGGACGATGAGTACTTATTATAAAATCCGGCTTGGAATTTTTATATACCAGCCTGGAACTCGTCTGCAACCATTGCCATCCACCGTCTTTCGTTTGGAATCTGTATGCTATCATACCGGATGCTCCCGTTTTTAATACTGCAATCATATAATACTTAGTTTAAATCGAGAATTAACGAGAGAAACTGTTCGGCAAATGTTTATTATATAAATGTAGAAAAATAGGGCTAAAATAAAATATGTTTTTACTTACATTCTTGGTGCGCACTAGCTACGTAGGCCAAATCATCGTAATGAACGAGATCGTAACCACCCAGATTGGCAAGTTCAACGTCCGTATATCCTAAAAGCATTTTTCCTCGTTGATCCATCGATACCAAGCCGAGGTCTAATTTGTGTTTGCTCTTAAACATGACTTCCTTCTGTGGTACTTCCAAAAGCGAGGGCGGCCCGAATGGTATACACAAGGCAAACAAAGCCAATGGCGGTTGTTCGGTTTTTTTATTTTGTCCATGGAGTACCTTAACTCGTCCCCTGATATCCAAGCGCTGAAAGGAAACATTTATCAAATATCTTTAGCACGAACAATTAACATAATCAAAGATCGTCGTTTAAATGAAAGCGAATAATATTAGAAAACACGTTTCCCGGTTGAGTGAGTGAATGAATGGCTGCAATAATTTCATGTAAATGCTTTTCCACGTTCTTTTTTTTTGTTCTTTTGCTAAAAACTTCACTCGCGAATGGATATCCTCGTTGGGTCGAGAGATACCGCCGCCAAGGGTGAGGGCCGGACTCATTGCTAAACCTTTTACGCCGTGAACCTTTTACGATTACAGTTTCATTTTCATAAACGTCAAAGCGGTCCTGTTTTTGCGAAGGCGTTTGCGCGGCCCTCTTTCGGGCCGCGACTTAAAGCTAAATCGTTCCTGTCCTTTTATAGCTATATATGTAGTTGCCATATACACGTCTTTGTCCCTTAGCTTACCTTCGACAGAAGAATATACCTCTCTACATCTGTCGTGTGTTTGTCCTAAGATAATTAGTGTTTTACCGCTTCCACGGCTCCCTACACATCGCCATATCCGAGGTTACTCGGGTTTTGCTCTCCATATTTGATTTATTTCATACTTATTTACTTGACCGTATACTACACGCAAAACGAGACACAGATAACACGACGAATCCAACAACGACCAAGTAACCTAAGTGCTTCTGATCTCTCTGCTTTATTTTATTAATTAAATAAATGCCATTATAAATTATCCATATTTCAATAAACTTATATCATAATGGTATAAAATCAAGGACGCAAATTTTTTCATTGCCAAAATCGATAAATGTAGAGAGAGAGAGAGAGTAAAGATTTGTTATTGAAAAAAAACAAAACAATATATATACCAGATTCGAAAATGGTTCGGCGGCTCGTTGTCTAAGATAGGAACGTGCAATTTCTTTCTCGTGGAAAAACGAAGGAGAACAGAATGGTAAGAGATGTATAACGTAATATACCTACATGAGGAAAGAAAGAGGTAGAGGGGTAGGTAAGCGTAGAAGAAAAAAGGCAATTACTTGGGTCGACGGGGAAACGACGAAGGCAAACGGATGACCACAAAACGGAGGTCGCCTTCTCACTCCCCCCCGCCTCCCGCCTTCTACCTTTGCTCCCCGGGCCTCCCTTTATGACAGTGAAATTATTAATTACTGTTTTGTATGCCGGCACTTTGCTTTTGTCAGCGTGGAGAAACGTCCTGAGTGCAACCGCAATGCGCTCGGTGTAATCCTCCCTATCCTCCTCCCCCTACTCTCAACTCCTTTGCTTCACTTACTCGTTTCATTTTTGTCGTTTTCAGGTAGATAGGATTCCATCTTGTAATCTCAGAAATTCGCGCGAATAAGCACAATCATTTGGACCAGTTTAACCCATCCCTTGACTCAAGGGTTGGACTGTGGTCAGCCTACAAAATTCTTTATGCAACTTTTTGATATCTTCATGGTAATCAACGCTTGTATATTTTTGTCGTACAATTCGCTTTGCACTCGAGCTAATTGTAAGCGGTTATTTTCTAGAAATTTATTCTCGACTTTAATTTCGTTTTTTCTGTTTTTTTTTCTTTTGTTTTTTTACTTTTTTTTCTTCGTAAGAAAAATATATTTCCAAGTACGATAAGATAAGGGCTCGAGATACATTAAGGTTTACGATTCCTTCTTTTTTTGCGATCCTAGAAATTCATTTCGAAAAAGAAACTATCACTTTTACGAGTCCGAAGTTTTTCTTATTAAAGCTTAAACTATAGTCGAAGCCAACGTTTAATCCTCGCTAAAAAGTAAAGGCGACTATAGTTACTCGACAAAATTTTCCATATATATTAAAAGTACTCTAGGCGAACTTAGCATATCTTGATATCATCGTGGCAACCCAACGCTCTTTATCCTGACATATATTTCTTTATATAATTCATTCCATATTGATTTGATATAACTTTAGTTAGATATAAAAAAAAAAAAAAAGAAATTTCAACGATTAGCATAATACGAATGAATATCTTGATTGTATATACTTTATGGAAAACTCCGCTGTAGTAAAAGGTTCATTTTGTACATTTTATATTTGTTTTTCCTTCTTTATTTTAGGAAATTAAAGAAGATAGACTTACCAAAAATCCCGACGTATTGTCCAAAAGGCAACGGAAGCGGACGGTAAAACTGCGTTCGAGAAGATGACTATGTTGAGGTGATAGTGCATCGTGAAGAGGGAGGCTTGCATTTTCAGCAGGTAAAAATGAATTCCACATTAATTGTCTTTGTAATTCTTCTCTATCTTCGCTATGTACCAACTCGTAAACGCTCTGATGAACGATGTCCGACTGAAACAAACAAACAAAATCATCGAATTAGATTAATGTTCATTAATTATTTCTATACAATTGTGTTTAAAATTATGTTCAACTGAATATTTAATATTCGCAAAATATGTGTTATTTAAGAAACATTAAGTTTTATTTTTATTTTATTTCCAGATGAAATAATTGAATATTATTATTACATATATGTAAATGCATATAATATATGTATTGGTAATTACGATGCAGATTAAAGTGTAGCTTACTCTATTATACGATTACTAATATACATATGTATACGAGATAACCACCACATACATTCTACTGTACATGGATATTTTGAAGGGCTCCTTCCAACAGCAGAGTGGCGCAGTGGAAGCGTGCTGGGCCCATAACCCAGAGGTCCGTGGATCGAAACCACGCTCTGCTAAGATATATTTTTTTGCTTTTTTTTTTAATTAATAATATTTCGCATCCTTTCCAAGAAATAAAACAATGGCTTTAATATTTCACTCGCAAGTCACCACGTTGAATTATATTATTACAAACTAACTCGGTATGATTCATTTTTCGTTTTTTTTTTCAGATGCATCATCGCGAGTGCAGTATATATCACGAGTACTAATGTTGCTTGCGCAAATATTCAACTCTAACATCGTAAGATTGTAAATATAAGTTGAACCTATCGCATTAAATAAACGGTTAAATATTTGTTTATGTAAAAACTAAAAAAGAAGATTAAAGATATCTTTGATCGTGATATGAGTAGCAAGTACTGGGCGGTTCGATGATTACACGTTATCGTATACTTTCGTGTGCGACTTCGTTTCTCATTTCTTTAATAATTCTTATTAATATATAATCTCTAGGAAATATATATTAGATGAAACAAATTTCAGGAAGATTTAGAAGATAACGTAACACAGAAGCAGAGTGGCGCAGTGGAAGCGTGCTGGGCCCATAACCCAGAGGTCCGTGGATCGAAACCATGCTCTGCTAGGAAAATTATTTTTTTTCAATTCCCCATTACGATATCGATTTTTACGAAGAATCCTGCTAGGTTAATCGCGAATCCTCCGACGTATATAGGAATAATAATGCATCGTTGCTAAGTTAAAATAATACATTTCATAGAATATTTTTCGTTCCACTTGTACTCGATGAGTGTGTTGTCAGACGTTCGTGGTGGTATCTTTCGCTATAAGTCTAGCCATATCGATCCTTTTACTTTCGGACGTAAGTAGAAACAAGCAGGATAAGTTGATTTCCTTGCAATAAGTCCTAGAGAGCAAGATGCAACGCATAGAGAAGAAGAAGAAGAAGAATAATCTACTAGAAGACATTAGAATTTATTTTAGTTGGAAAAAGAAATAATAATAAGAAGAAGAAGAAATAGGTATGCGAATGATAGGATGAAAGGTAAAAAGAGGAAGAGGAAAAGGAAGAGGAGGGGGAGGGGGAGGATGACTCGTGAAGCGATGGCATTAAGAGAAATCTTTTCTCTCGTTCCTCTTTCCGCTCCGTAAAATAAAACGTTTCGAATGCGAACGGTACGGCGTGGAGTGGCATTATTTCAGGAAATATCAGATCGGTCGTGACGGCGTGCAGCGACACAAGCGCATATACTGCCCATGTACCTACACGTGTTCGACGCACTTTATCGCGCATAATTAATCCAGACTAGCCCGGCCTCGAATGATGAGTCTCCGCACGACAGCGGCGGTGCATAGTTTTACCTTTTAGAAACGGTCATGCTCATCGTCTCTTTCTCTCTCTCTCCTAGGGGCTTCTGGTTCCAGAAAGAAAGAGAGAGAGAGAAAGAGAGAGATCTAAGATGGTGGTGACGGTGTAAAACGAGAGAAAAAGAGCTAATCAATCCGGTGCCGTACGGTACCAAGAGAGAGAAAGAGAGAGAGGGAAGAAGGATACCTCGAGCATAGGTGTAACCGCGTGACTTTTAATCCGATAATCGGTGTGCCGATGCCAGCACACGCATCCCTGAACGTTCCTGAACTGAAATAAAGCTTGGTACTACTCGAGAATAGATCGGACTCGGCTCGTTCGACCATTACCTGGTCATGGCTGTCAGGACAGGCTCTGCTCGCTGCGAATAATATAATAAATCACGCGCTAGAGACGACGTGAGAGAGAGAGAGAGGGAAGGAGAGAGATCACAGCGTTAGCCTCGCGTTAACGTTTCTAACCGAAGAACGTCGTTGCACTGCTCGATGCACTGACACCTTCTCTCTCTCTCTCTCTCTCTCCTTCTCTCTTTCTTTCTATCTTTTCCCGTGTACCTCTCTATATACGCGCGTACACGCGCGTGTACATTTCGTGCCCAGGCGAATCTCGGGGTATCAGCGTCGTGAGGATCTCACGACTTCCATGTTACCCGCGCACCATCCCTGCCATTATGCGCGAACGTACCCGATCTTACTGTGTATCCTATATATAGTTAGATGCACGTACATGCACACACATATACGTATAAATTCCGTGTAACCGTAAGACTGCATTTTCCAAAGTGAAAATGTCGAGGAGAAGCGTATCGAACTTTCACCAATCCCGAGGTCTCTCGCGGTATATCATTTTTTTATTTGTCGTTGTCGTCATTTTGTCGAATGCATTTTTCTTTTCTTTTCTTTTGATCGATTTATCATCGGCTGTTGGCATTTGTGGCGGCACTATCGGAGCTCTCTCAAGCTGAAACGGAAACCGAAACAAGAGACCGACTCAAGTCTCGTAAAACTCTCACCGTCTCGATAAATATATAGCAAGAGGTATCGCAAAATCGTTCGTTCGTTCGTTCGTTCGTTCGTACGAACGAAACAGCAGGTAAGGGAGAGAGTAGTCGCCGCCTTGAGAAAGGAGTCCCATGAAGTTCTTCTCCATGGGATCCAATGAATTCGAACGTCCCGTTTCCCGCGGTTAACCGTCTAGTCGCAACCCTGCTGCGATCGCGCGGATGCGATCCACGGGTAGAAGGGGAAAAACGATACTCCCTTTGCTCTAATTTTAATCAACGATTATACATGATTTCTCTGCTAATCGATGGAAGAAAGTGATTTTAACTTTTTCTCTCATCCTACGTCGTGCATATCCAGTTGTTTTATTTGAAATCAATCGGATTAATCGAGGATTGCAAAAAGGTTTACTTTGAGTTAACATTGGAAACGGTCAAAGTAATTTGATATTACGTTATATCTGTACGTGTGTATGTGTGTGTGTTCCTACTCAAAATTAAGCTCGGCTACCGAGTCTTTTCTAAGACTTTAGTCAACCTACAATCATAAGTTCCAGTATAATGGCTCGCCGTCACGTATTCGCCTATAATGCCACTAGGATTAAACCACGGCAGCTTTTATTAAGCGAGCTTAATCGTAAATTATATTTTAATTGTCGAACGATAGAGAAGTTTATACATACAGGTTTACTCTCTCGTTCTATGTAATAATTGGGCGTGATTAGCGAATGCCTACGCAAATTATTCTCCCTCTTTATTACCAACAAATTTTCTTCATTCAATTATATAACATTATATACCTACATAGTAGTCTATTATTTGTCGAAGATTTAAGTTTAAGTTTTGTAAGATATGTTAACGAGTGTGTTATTTGAAGTATTAAAATAGTTAAATTTGGTAGCGTATCTTGGTCCGATACCTTTGGGCATCGATCGTCGTCTCCGAGTTACTACTCTCATCTTAGATTTTTGTTAGTTTCATTTGGTTTTATGCTCGTAGGTTGGTTGGCTCGCGCGAGTTGAGGTCAGTTACCGAAGGCAAGGCGGCGGGCGGTTTGCCGGTAAGGTCCGTAACGTTTGTTACCATTGCTCGTTTAAATAATCTCGAAACATGTATCCGCGGGACGGAGCGGCCGAGTCATGGATGGCTTTACGATCGACCCTCGTCGTTAATTAAGAGCTTGTAATTATTTAGTGGAGACGCTAGCGCACCCCCGCCGGCATCGGAGCAGTCTCGCTCCCTCGGCAGACTTGATTTACATTCCAACGAAGAATGCCGAGGCAAAAGCCTCGCCTTATACTCTTCCACTTCACCTCGCCTCGCCTATTTCCTTTTTCTACTGCTTCCACCCTCCCTTCTTCCACCACCATGTTCGTCTTTGCCCCTTGCAAGCAACAACGGTATCCTTTTCAAAGAACCTCTTTGCTTTCTTCTTATCTAAGGAAAACCAATCGAAATTGGAAAACTTTCTTAGCGTTATGCGAACTCCCGCGGATCCTGTTTAATAATCGAAACACGTCAGGATTCTTTCTCGGCACGGTTTCCCTTCAAATCTGTAAACAGTGTTTCGCACGAGAACACTTCTTTATCTTTCTTTCCTTCCTTCCTTCTTTCTTTTTCTTTCTACCGTCCGCAATTTGAAAATCGTTATCGCGATATTTCAGTGTCAGCTAGCAGCAGGTACCAAGGATAAACAGAGGTACGTACCAAGATACGTTCGGGTACCGAAAAGACGCTGTCGAGAAATAAATCGAAGCTGGACACCGGGTGAAAAAACCGATGGAACCGATTCGGCGCGATCAAAGGACCCGCTACAAATTGAAACAAATCAGGCAGGTAATAATAATTAATCCGTGCCGCTCATTAATAATCGAGGTTCTCTTTCTATCGGTGTTCTTTCTCATCGTACGCGTGGTTTCGTGTATTTGCACGTATTTACCGTGTAGGTATGCGCGGCGTACCCACACACGACGACAACGACAACGACGACGACGAATAAAGAAAGGGCCAAGTGTATGTTGGTATACGTATATATATATTTACGTATAATAATATATGTACATAGTAGATTCGCCAAGTGGAATATCGCGGCCTCGAACGTTGAGCTCTCAATTATGTCGGAGAATTATGAAGCCGCGTCAGCGTTTCATTCTTCTACTCTCTCTCTCTCTCTCTCTCTCTCTCTCTCTCTCTCTCTCTCTCTCTCTCTCTCTCTCTCTCTTTCTCTCTCCCTTTGTCTCTCGAACTCGTTGAACGAGAAAAGGGGTGAAAGGCGAGAGTGCTCCGGGGCAGCCCGATTGTGTCTTCATTAGCAGCTATTAATTGTCAAAACGTTGCCACATAATTTAGATGGGGCGCGAACGAACCCTTAGCGCCTTTGTATAATCATTTATACCTATACCTTTCTATCCAATACACTCTCATCGACTCGATATACGCGAACGCGTATACTACTCAAATACGTAAGATATATAAAGCAAACAACGAAAGAAACGAAAGAATTCTCGTTCTCGTTCACTCGATAAAAATGTCTTTTATTAACGTAGACAAAAAAGTAAGTAAGTTTCTTTCTTGCGCGCTACGAGATTCCTTGGATTGTTTCAATATTTTCTTTTTTGTAGTTTGTTTTTTTTTTCTAAACCACCCTAAAACCATTCGTCCTTGTTACTTCAAGGATTCCTCGTTTCCCTTATTACGTTCGTCAATTCTCCCTCTACTTTTTCTCTATCTTTACCATCTTCTTCTCATATTTCTCTCGAAGCACCCTCTTTCGCCCTTCCATATTCCGGCTCCGTTAACCGATAAGCACCCTTTGACCTTTTGTTTAAGTTATTACTTTTATCCGGCACAGGTCACGGGGTATAAAGGCTCGTTGAGCATCGAATCAACTCTATCAGCCCAATTAACCAACCCGCCGAGGACTCGAAGAACCTTGCGAGTTTCAATCCATGCCCTTTTTCCTCGACTTTGCTAGCTCGTACGTTTGTTTTCTTTCTTTCTTTCTTCCTTCCTTTCTTTCTTTCCTCGCACGTTTATCGCGTGAGATATCCAACTAAAAACGACTCTTTTCTCTCTTACATTTATTTTATTTTATTTTATTTTATACTTATTTTTATTTATTCGGTTTCTCTTCGAATACAGTTTTTCTTTTTTATTCACTTTCGTCCGTGTGTCATCGAGAGAATATTATTAATTAATTATCTTAGTTAGATCGATTCGTTCCTTCTCCAAATTCATTACTCCTTGATAAAACGAATAATGCAAAATGTAAAACGTCGTCCTGTGTTCATAAGTTTGTTCTCGACAAATTAATTGACTTCAATTACTCGAGAAAATATTGTCAAGATCCTACGGATATAAACGTCATAAACATTTACAAACTTGTTAGAAATCGTTGGGCGTCCAAGAATTAGTGAATTTTGCTAAAATTTGTACGAACCCGAGTATATGGGGTTCTTCAAGGTATTGCATTTGTTCATATAAATATCCCGTTTCTCTTGATGAATTTATGAATATAATTTAGATATAAGGAATACGCTTACTCTCGCACTTTTCTACGGAGTTATAGGGCCGTGTAATCGCGTCGTCCCGAAACGCCCTGCGATTATGCACTCGGATACACGGTCATCGAGTAGGGAAATCATCGTCCATCGTAGTTCTCCTTTACAATGTGTGCACAAAGCGTTCGCGTGTGTTATACTATATTCAAGGGAGGAAGAATCCACCACGCGATCGCGCTAAGAAATTTTATAGGCGGATGTCTGTGTGTTTAAATTTCTCTTTTCTTTTTCTTTCCTTCCTTTCTTTCTTTCTTTCTTTCATTCTGCTTTTATGCGGGCTACTTGAAAATGACGACACATTTTATAGTTGAGAATTTCTTTCTTTTTTCTTTTTTTTCATCTTCTACTCGTTTTATTTTTACGCAAGATATTTGAAAAGAAATTTGCATAGTCGGCCGAGTTGCGTCTGCTTTTTTTTTACGATCCCCTCCACCTCCCTTCTTCTCTTTCTAGATTTATGTGGAAAAATTGAAATTGTCGATCTGTTTGCGTTGTCGTTTCATTTTTATGCGGGCTATTTAAGAATGACACTTTGTATTCCACCTCGGTTATCAATTGTTTTCTTTACTTCGTATCATTTTCCTTCTACTATTATTTTTGTTCTCTCTCTCTTTTTATCGAACAAGGGACTTATTAGAAAACGTCAATCAAGTTTTTCGCCCGAGTGAGCGCTCGTCGGCTTGAAAAATGATTCTTAAGGATTACGAGCGGGTTGGTGCCTTTGCCGATCGGAAGCGTTTTCCCTGCGATGTGTGCACAAAGCTTTCAGGTGTAACGAGTCACGATAAAAGTAATCTTGGTTCTACGATAGAGCAAGGTGACATCGTTCAAAGATCTAAATCTCGAAATTAGTCGTAAAAGATTAAACCCATTGAGGTGATTAGCTTTTGCTTTTAAATGATTAAACGTTTCATTAAATTCTGTCCCTAATTGAAAAGACAATTACGATTACGATGAATGATTCATTTTATAATAAAACAAAGTATCAATGTTTCTAATGAAATTCACGTTTCTATCGGAAAAGAAAAATCCGAAATAATTGTATTTTAGTTCTCGTGGCAGATCGTTTTCTAAAGTAAACGAATCAGCAACGCGTTCGGTTCTGTTGGCTCGTTTGACGATTCTGTTTGCAGGACGTTATTAGCATTGAAAAATGTGTGCACGCTGTCGAGGGAAGAGTAAGGATACGTCGCGTTTGAGAAAGGGATGATGCTTGGGCAAACGAGACACGTACGGCAAACTTGACAAGGCTGGCGTGACTGTCGAGCGAGCGAGCGAGTGGAAGGGTGTAGCAGTAGACGAATCAACAGTAAACCGACAATAATAAGGGTAAAACCCTTAGATTTTTTTTTCTCCCTATAGGTTTTCTACCTCTTGACACGTATCACTAACGGGGTGGTATGGGTTAGTAAGTTTTCCCTTTTCCCTTAGCTCATTCCAATCGGACAACGTTAATCGTGATAAATATTGCAATACGTTTACTAAATGCTTACCTGATGAAAGCCAAGGTAACTTTCTATGCTGTGGGTAGCGAAGAAAACCTCCCCGTCGCAGGTTAATATCAGCAGAAAACCGTTCAGTGCCTGGAACACAGATACAAAGACTCTTTTGTTTTAGATTGAAATCTAATTAGGAAAGTAAAAAGGGCAAAGATAAAAAATAAAATAGAAATAAAATAGAAATAAAATAAAAATAAATGGGCAGAGAGAGAGAGAGAGAGAGAGAGGAAATGGAGGAAACGCAGAAACGAACGCCACCGTGTTTTGTGGCGTAACAGAGTTAAAACGTTGCGGAAAGTTTTCCCATTTATCGGTAGACCCGATACCGACAAATACCAAACGAGCTTGCGAACTCGAACGTTCGCATCGAAGCCCAAAATATCCGTTCCAGTTTCTAACGGGTATTTGGTATAGGATTATACTACTAGCTGAGAAAACCATTTAACCCTCGGCCGCACCGTCGTTTCGAGTTAAACGTGGATTGTTTTGTTTTATTTCGTCGGGTTCCTGGCCCGTACCAGGCACGCCAGTTAGACCTTATTGTTCTGAAATATGGCGAGCGTTCGATATCCTTCCTACCGAATACCATTTTATAAGAGAAAAAAGTAGAAAAAACGAGAAAGAATGGAAAGGGAAACGAATTCCATCGAATTTCGTAGCATGCAAATCTTACGCGAATTCCTAAGAGACTGGCACATAGTTCATCATCGAATCCTACAAAATTTATCGACCTTCACGTATTATCCAACCTTACAATAATTTCTTAGTATTTATGGAAATAAATGCATTCTGGATACAATTTTATTGGTGTTATTTTCCAAATGTATCTTATCGAGAGAGAGAGAGAGAGAGAGAACCAATTCGAACTAATAATATACGTATTCCTGGGAATAATAATAGGCAGAAAAACATTGAATAGAAAATGGTACCCACCGGAGCGATCGCATGCGCGGATGCTGCGTTTTCATTGGCTTATTCGGAGGGTGGGCTTACTGCGTAGCGTCAATAGCGATGTGCGGCTAGGGTGAGCTTCGAGTTTCGAGCATCGCTTGCTATAGTAGGATAGTGCCTCTCTAATAGGATTTTCTCGGCAGTGTTCTCCCCTCTTATTATAGCTTAACCTTACCGTATCACAGAAATGGCCGACATGGCCATTTCGTATAACAGGCGCATCGTCTCACGGGAATCTTTCTTAGTATAGATGGAACTATAATTGCGAGTTAATGCAATTACCAATCGATCTGTTTGATTTGACTCGTTTAATATTTTTCATCTCTACACAAATTTACAATGAAAATATATCTTTCTTCGTAGATTACGCCTAAGTTTACAGTTACGATTTCCCATATATTCTGTGGAAATAAATATTTGAAGACCTATATAATAACCGTAAACGTCGTGTAAGAATAAGAAGAAGAAACGGGGATAGTACTCGCGGAAGTATAACCGTCTGTTTAAAGAAAACAAAGATTGGTATTTATCGCGTGAGCTCGGTTGAGAATCAGTCGCGTGCCACTCGCGAGTACTTGGCGTGTTCCGCCCAAGCGTGAACACTCCTAATACCCCTTCATCCTCACCTTGACTCTCTCGTATTAGCTGTTCGCCGATAATACTTCACGCACGAAATCTTTCTTTTTCCGTTTTCTTCCGTTGCTCGTGCGAGCGCGACTAGTAGCATTAACTTTGCAAAGATACGAATAATAACCCCCCCCCCGCCTCCCCCTAAAACGCTAAAGATAAACAGACCGAAGGAATATCGATTCGCATTAAATTCATATCGACGTTCAGCTCGAGAGTCTACACTATCCCTTGGAACTTTCTTATCGCACGACCCTGACATTTCTAATCGACCTACTAGGCAACTAAAGAATCTACTACGTAAAATAATTCGTTTCATTTTTTGCGAACTGTTGCAGGTTTTGTTGCAACATTGGCAATTAGGAAAGAAAGAGAGAGAGAGAGAGAGAGAGAGAGAGAGAGTAGCAGCGGGTGTCGATGCGAAAAGGGTGTATCGAAGTAAGATATTCCGCAGGAAGGAGTTGGCTAAGAGAGGGTCGGTGTGGTATCTAAGGGAGGAAAGGAGCACGCGATCAATACGCGGGAAGGACTAGCGGTGCCAGACCAAGGCGAGCCCCGTCGACCGGCAACCTAACCTCCCTCATATCATCCCACCCAACCTAAGCTTACCTTTGACTCACTCACTGACTCACTGCCAATTGACTTCTCTCTCTCTCTCTTTCTCTCTCTCTCTGTTGCTCTTTAGATTTCGCTATTTCGCCTGAACATAGACAATTTAAACGCTTTAAACCGAGTTTAGTTGAAGCCAATTGTCTAGGACACTTCCTTCCTTTAGTCCGGAGGCAGTGAAAGTATCGAAAGGTCTTTTAAAAATCTCTACCACCACCGTACGAAGCTGTCTCCCTAGACGACCCCTCTCTTCTGCCTTTAACTCTCCTTCTTCTCCTCCTCCTATCGATTTCAGAAACTTTCAATAGATTTAATGACTCGGAACGACTCGTTCGACCTCGGCTTCGTTCTACGATTAACGTACCGAGGGAATTATTTCGACAGGATTTTTCTACTATTTTCTTTACCTTCTATGACTCCCTATCCTATCTATTAAATTGGTCTACACAAATAATTGTACCCTTTTTAAATGTCGAGTTAACTGTTAAACGATCAACATCGAGTTCTTCTGCAATCTCTCCCCGATCGTTTTTATCGAGTTAACTTCTATAATGGTTCTTAAATCATTATAACAGTTAATTGTCTCTGGTTGTTTAGATTTCAAACAATTTTTATGCGGGTTTTGCCAATTTAAACTCGTACGAAATTGCTTTTTTAAATAAAAATCCCTGCCAAATATGGAACTAATCGAAACTGCGATATTATTTATGCACCGACCTAATATTAATCTAATATACACATATAAATATATAAATACGCGTATGCAGATTTTGGATATAATCGAATTAGAGAACGCAACGATTAGACGAGAAAAGTTTTCAACAGGGTCTAACCATGGGGGCGGGGACGGGTAGGGAGGGGAGGAGAAGATGTTTCCCGTTTGTTCTCTTCACCCCTTCTAAGTCTTCTCGAAAACGAACTTACCTATCTTTCCTCACATAGGGAGCAATCAGGGCAGAGTAGACATGCAACCATCAGCAACAAGTAAGAGCCTTATAGCGTGGTGATCGAGTTGGCCGTCCGTTCGTTCGTCCGTCCGTCCGTCCGTCCGTCTGTCCATCCATTCGTTCGTTCGTTCGTACGTTCGTTTCTTGGCTCCTTACTTCCCCGTCTTACAACCTCTACACCAAATTCACTTAAGTCGGTGTTAGAGAGATCGCTTATGCGACCTAAACGCGAATCTAAATTGCCTAGCTCACGTAGGGGCGCACAGGTACCTCGTCATCGTTAGTAGTTCGTTTCGTTTCACGCAACAATTCAAATTTACTTTTATCTCCTATTTACTTATATTAAATACATTTTATTAATAGATTTATTTTGTTGTCCTCTTGATCTTTATTAATTCGACTTTGAATTTATCTTTTAGAAAGAGAGATATCTTCTATTCGTGCGTCTATTACTAATAGCAATCGAAAAAAATTCGTTGGACGTAGAGCACCGTGTAGATGTGCCGGGGAGAAAAATAGCTCGGTTGTGATTACGGGTTACCAGTTGCGGGGGTCATTCCTGACCACGACCCTCTTTTACCGCTACCAACCTGCAGCTCCTGTGTATTAATGCGATACACGATAGCCTGCTGCTGCTGCTGCTGGCTATTAAATAAAAAATATGAGACCAAAATGGCTGCTCTCGCGGCGATATACGTCACTGAGAGGCGTGATTCCTACCGAAGTTGAAAAAGGGAAGGGGGGGAAAAGGACAGACAGGTAGACAGACGGACAGACGCACACACAGAGAACGGACAATTTTAGCGCGCGCCCGAATGGTAAAGCAGGTAGGTCTGTCTATTGTGAATTTTTCTTCGACGCGCATTAATATTTCATCGAGTGATCGATCGGAATGCATTTTTCAAATACTAAATTAACGCTCATCCAACAATGCGTTACTCTCGCGAAAACTATTCTCAAATGGCGTATTGCCTGGATCGATCGATATTATGGCGATTTCACGGAAACGATAAACTCGCCGACGTTTTTGCATAAATGCATAATAGGAGAGAACTTTACTACTTTTAATTCATATACCACGGATTAGAGGATGGATAGTAAATTGCGTTTGCATTCGCGTCGGACGTTCTGAGCTTTTTACCGTTCCGCGGAATATCGATGTAGGATGTAGAACGTATAATAACTTCTATATTATAATATATGTAAAAGGTTTCAAATAAACATTTTTCGCTAAAGTCGCCCTTATTATCCTCGACTAATTCAACGTGTTTGCAGAAAAGAGATACGGTAAGGACCAGAACTTTTTGTTGCGACATTTTCTCTCCCCTTATTACTTGAAATCTTTACTCTAAACTTTTTCCATCAACTTGATGTTATATTATATTAGTATGATACGCATACAGACATATATTTCCGTATATTATGTGTCTTCGAATCGTGTCGCTTTCTTAGCACCTCCTCTCTTCCTTCGGTGCGTGTTCGTTAGTCGACAGAAAGGAAAACTAACTGCAAGAAACACGCGACGCCTCGTGCCCAACGAGAAATAAGCCCGTTTTTATCGTGATACATTCTTGGCTCAAAAAAAAAAGAAAAAATTGCAGTCTTTTATATGTATACCGGTTATTAACTAAAGCATTTATTCCAGATTTCGAAGGGAATATCTGTATTTCATTAACCTACAAGGATTTCGTCGTTTACGTTACGAGCAAAGATGAACGACTGACTACTCGTTATATCGTCCTTGTCAAAAATTCAACGATCAGTCTTCAACGATTTGCGTTTAATGTCCATTACTTCAAATAATCCAGACACACACACTCTCATTCGTTTCCTTTCGCTTGTCCAACTTCTCTCGATCCACACACGCTCAAAAAAATCGTCTCCCATTCTTTTCTTTTTTCTTCTTCTCATCTTCTCGATATCCCTACCTTTAGAACCAACCAATACCAACCTACCTATACCTACCTACCTACGTACTATACCATACAATATATACATATATCAATAACACGTTCAAATGATTCGTGAGCTCCATCCAAAGCTGGCTCGGCTGGTCGTCGTCTCTTCTTCCTCCCACGCAATTTCAATCTCCCTCTCTTCTTTTACTCCCTATCCCTTCCTCCATTCGTTCGACGACTCGTTTCCCCTTTTCTCGCAATATATACACACTTTTGCCGATCCTCGTAAAGCTCACAAAGGCCGACAGTAAATCCGGTTTATGACAAGACGACCGCCAGCCACCACGATGCCCCACCATCCACGAAATTACTACGCTTTACCGATCCGATCTTTATATTCCACCCCAATTATAAAAGAAACCCCTTACCTTAAAGTACATAATCTTTTACTACCTACACACATACAGACAGAGAAAAAGAGAGGGAGTCGTCCGTCGTTCGTCAAGGATATCGAATAAAATCTTCGGAATGATTTTGAACTCGAACCTATCATTTAAGTATTTCAAATAGATAGTTCATAAAATGGTGGAGTATCGTTTAGCGGTCTTGTCGGAGGCCCGTTTCGGAATTAGCTCCGGGCACGAGCTACGTAACGTAATTAACGAGCAGACAATTAATAACGCGCCGTTATAGATGCTGGCAGGATCGTTCGATCGTAATGCAGGAGGACTCGCATGAAAGGTACGCGTGCCTCCGTACGAGTTCATGCGAGTATATTGTATGCCTTCTCTTTCTCTTTCTCTCTTTCTCTTTCTCTCTTTCTCTCGCGCGCGCACATGAGACTAAAACGCAGGAAAGGGAACGTAATAGCCTCGCATGATACGCCTCCATTAATCCGTGTATATACCCTTCCATACTTTGGAGGAATAGACACCTCGTACGCCTCGGTTTCATAGCCGGTTCATCAGCCGGATATCTTGCTCCTTCTCTCTCCCCCCCGACCCCTTTCCGTGCCATTCCTTCCTCCTGCCTCCGCCTCCTCTTCCTCCTCCTCCTCCTCCTCGCCATCCGCCCCCAACCCCCACCTCGTTCGCAATGATTTAATTTCGGCTCGATCTTTGCAAATTAACGAGCGCGATACAACTTTGCTATTACTTTTCTTACGTTATTCGAGAGAAAGAAAGTTTGAAAGGTAAGGAAGAAAAAAGGGTTAACGCGTATCGTTTTCACGACGAACGCTTTCAATCACGAAATCATTCGGTAACACGCGTACTCAGTCAGACCGACCATTCATCTTTCCACAGAGTCTCTTCCCACAACCATTTATTTTCATTCATTCGTTCGTTCGTTCGTTCGTTCGTTCGTTCAGTTGGCCTGATACAACGATCGATAGATAGGTCTTACGTAATTAAGGTGGGAAAAGATAGATAATCCCGTTCATGTTTATTCCATTTCAATTTGTTAGATCTTAAACTATCGGAGCTAAGATTTCTATTAACTCGTGTTAACGATTTTTATAACAAATGAGTAATATCTTAAACGAATTTATTGAATGTTTCATTTGAAATATGTGTAAGCTTAGTACCGTGGAATATTACCCGTTGTATTCGATACATTTCGATAACCAAGAATATCGACTTATATTTTCTTGTTTCTAATCTTGACGATCGAACCGAGACGTCTTGATCGATACTGGCAAAAAGGACAGGTGCATTTTACGCGTCATAAATAGCAGACAGGAGTGCGCGCGCGCGTTCACCCTTTCGTAATTAGTATGCGCCTTTTTCTCTCTCTCTCTCTCTCTCTCTCTCTCTCTCTCTCTTTCTCTCTCGTTTCTCTGGTCTTCAAATTTCTTTCCTCGCCGAAATGAGATCATAAATGTTAAGTATTGAAACGGTGATAAGAGTCTCGAATGGAAGAAGCAAGAGCACACTCACCTGTAGGAACATTTCACCGTCAAGGTGATGATGATCGTACGCAGCTAGGGCAGCCAATTCACGTGCACGGTAATGCGAATCATGATGCGAATTTTCTTCTTTATCCTTGTGCATCACCACTGTAAAGGAAGAAGAGACACGAACGGATTAGAAGAAATCCTGTCTGAATCAAGAAAAATGAAGTTAGATATGCGTATTTCTACGAAAACGTGCAACGTAATGTAACAAAATCAAGAGGACACGATCGGAAAGTTGAATTCGCGATAAAAAAAGGCAAGCGAAAACTTTGTTAGTCAAATTCTTTTCTTTTGCCGTGTCGCAAAAAAAAAAGAATCATCGGAACGATTAGAGCAATCGCAATCAGTTTTATGATTTCTTTAGCTGGCAATATAAAAAAGGGCTGGCAAACCGTTTCTTATCGTAACTCGAGAACTTAAGATACGATTTACGATGGCCACCCTATAAAAAGGGACTCTCGTTCGTTCGTTCATTCTTCCTAAAACTCTATATTCAAACCCGCGTGCCCCCTTCTCCCCGTTAACGTTTTTATATCCTTGACATTGTCAGTAAATGATGCGATGTAGCCTTTTTTTTGGTTTTTTATTAATCCCATTAATATATAATAAATAAAGTATATGTTCTCGTTCGTGATTCGTAAAAAGTTAACGCGCAACATTCTAAGAAAAGATTCGTTTTTCGCGTTCGTTAAGTGCCGCGCTTGCTCGTCCACCGTCACGTTTATCGTCGAAAAAACGGGCCGCGACTTTAATACGGCCGGTTTATTATTTAGTACTACCGTGCTCTCGTATGTTCTAATTATGGCGCGCATATTAAAGCAGGAGGTAGGCAGGTGTATGGAACTGTAACAGATCGACGGAGTATTATAGGGCTTAAGAGGAAGTGTCGCTCACTTCCTGTCACGTCGTGTGTATACACGACGCTCAACTTGCCCTCTTTCCTATCGACGTCGAATAAAAATCGCTAACGCGTTCCGTTAATCTGCCAACAATCCTCCAACAAATTCTTTACTTATCGATAAGCAAAAGGATACCCGTCTCCCAACCCAACTCAAGAAATTGTTTCTAAATTTATTTGACGCACATCTCTCAAATCGTTCATTACGTTAAAACAAATTGATTTATTTCAATATAAAATATTCGACAAAGTTTCGTATACTTAATCGTTGTTTAGACTCGTGTGCAAGTCGAACTTTATCGAACGGCATCGGATGCGTAGAAGAAGGATACGCGACTTGGTTCGTAAAGAGCGACACGCAAGGAAGCAGCACGCGTGCGCCACGCGATCCTTTTGGACCCCTCCCGAAGAAGAACAAGAAGAACAAGGAGAAGCTTTCCGAGCCGGATAAGAGAACGGATAACCGTGACAACGGGTACGATGATGATCGTGAACGAAATCTTTTTCGAGGGAGAAGGGGGAAAAAAAGATGCTCCGAATAAGATTCCTCGTCGTCGAAAAGGGATCTTCGAAGGGATACGTTACACCTTTTATATATCCTCGTACTTTTTATATAATATTATCTTGACGACAAAAAGATAAGCCTTTTGATAGATGGTTATTTTCTATTAACATAAAAAAGTATAATTAATAGGTTTCGCACTCGAGACGATTTTCCGCATATTTAAACTATCTTCGCGTACGATGAAACGTTGAAAACTGAATTTTTCAAGTAAAATTAATAGCGAGAAACAAATGAAATATTGTTATCGCACACAGGGGAAATGGCAGCGAGTCGTGGGACGGAATTTAAGTTGATCGGTCGTTCGCATAGGTTTTCGAGCACTCGTAAATGATTCCGTGCAATATCTCGAATGGTCTGAAGCCATTAGGGAGGCCTAAACTAGGATCGGAATTGTCGTTAGGGATAACCGAAATTTCCTGCGACACGAGTTACAGGATTCGATCGCAGGATACTAAGGAAGGGTCTTTGTTGTGGTATCTCTTACTGTTTTCACTTCCGACGTTCAACGCTTTTCCGGAGGATTCGATTTTTAATCACCCTCGAGTACTAAACGACCGTGCCTAATGTTTCCTGACGACGGAGATCCTTTTCTTTAGAAAACCACCGTAGAATCTAAAAGGAAGTCTCGTTTCGCAAGAAAAACGGAAAGAAACCTGAAAAGTTAGGAAAACAAAAGAAAAATAGGATAGCGCGATAGGATATGGAAAGTAGCCAATAGTCGGATGACCAGAGTCACTTCTTTAATTGTAAGTAAGATTTGTTGTTGTTGTTATCGTTGTTCTGCTCGATGCATTGTCATGCAATTGACATATCCCTCTTCTCTCTTTGCTTTTATTTGCGTGCATCGTTCTTCCACGAAAACGATGAGACTTACGTGCGGGATACTTCTAAGCAATTTACTTTACGCTTCAAAAAATAGATCCTTGGTGTACCTGGATAGGTAAAACGGAGTACGGAGGTAACCGACGATATCATTCGTAGACATTACGTTGACATTAGTCATTTCCGTTGACTCGTTTTTTCCATTCTTCCGAACGTTCAATCCTGATGAGAGAGAACGCAATTCTTATTTTTATTCTTACATTTTTTTTCCTTTACATTCTGGAGTATCTATCGATTGCAGTAAATAGATTTAAAAATCTCTCTTTCCCTCAGAAATACTCCAATTACTTGGCAATTTATTTTCTAGGATAAAACGCCGATCATCATTTTGGTTTAAAGTAGCAACGGTGCTTCCTTTTTTTTTCCTTCCCTGCCAATGATGACTCGTGTTTCTTTACGCAGTCGTATCGATTGTGTTAAAGTCGAACCCATCGTGACGGGTCCCTGTTCTAAGTGAATGGTTAAGTAAGTGATTATCTTTTGACCACATAATCGATGGATGATTAATGGGAACGTTCTCTCCCTCTGTACGATATCTATTAAGAAGGTATCCTCGATGATAAATACGGTGACGCGAGCACGAGTTCATTCTTTTTTCTCATTAACTTTTCTATTGGACAACTGTGACAATTCTGACATCTTGACGTTTCAGTTTACTTTTCTATACGCTAATGGTTAACATCGGCACGCGTCCGTTGTATTACGAAACCCTGATAATATTTAACTAACAAATGTATCTTTTTTCGATTAATAAGAAGGAAATTGGAATTAGTTGCTTTATTTGATTTTATTTTTACTTTAATTACCAGATCGAAATATGTCAAAAATTTTGGATCAATTTGTAGATAAAGAAAACTCGTGAAAGATTAGGAAAACTTACTTCGTTCATGCGATTCTTACTAAGAAAAGATATTTTTGGGTGCACCGGCGGCCTACTTGTTAGCCGCTTATCGTCAAGGGGCGTTTTAATACTCGAGTGGTGAGTTTCCAACATCGAATGACACGGCGCGGCGTGGTGCGGCGTCCGTCGTTCGGAATCTCGTCGCTGCATGCAAATCGCAAAGTGCTCGGGGACTTTGCACTAAAGGTTTACCTAAAGGTTTCTTGCTGAGTCAGTTCGTTCCTTCCTCTTCTGACTGACTAACAAAAGCTAAAAGCTACCTTACTTACACCAATAAGGCTTAGTCTAATAGTACATATACACTCTTAAATGTATTATACATAAACGTCTATAAGTTGAATATTAAAGATCAAGCATGGAACATGCAGATTAGCCCCGCTAATACACTTGTTTCTTACAAATTACCCTTTACTGTTTAAGACAATCGATTCTGTTGGAGAAACGTTTTAGTACTCTTAAAACTAACCGAAAGAAAATGACCTTTGTCACCCAATATTTGGCCCCGATATTCAAGAGATAATCATTTCATAAATTATGAATATTATATATTGGAGAGAAAAATGTTCGATAAAACAGTGAGATCTATTTGAACGCATTAGGATAATAAGTTCCTACTTTTTTTTTTGGTTTGTAGGCTTGTAAATGTTAACGTTGGTACCTTTTGATCTTTCATTTTCATACCAGTAGGTAGGAGTTACATCCATAACGCGAATAAATCAGAACGTCAGACGGAAAAAGGTTGGCAACGAGAGGTTTTGACTTGTTGTAACCGAATGGAAGGACTCTCGTACTAGTTGGTACAATGCGAACGCGTCCCCCTGTATAACCTTCGGTTGGCATACGGCGGACAGCAAATTGGAGGAAACGCGATTGTTCGACGTCGAGTTAATTCGCGGTCTGGCCGTGCCCGCATGATAATAGCGGCCAAGAGAGAGATTATTAGCCCCCCGAGTAATGAACGATCCTACTACGGACGCGAAAACCTAAGCAAAACTGTATCCTACCGTAAAACCGTACACGCTCACACGCAAAACTCTATCGGCGATTGTTATATTGTAATTTATAAACTGCATATACCAATTACCAGACATTTCTGCATACCTGCTTGCACTTCAATCGTGGAAACGTTTTCTATGGCTGCGCGTTGCTACGGAGAAAATAACGCGAGATTGCAACGTTAAAAACCGATGGAACTCTCTCTCACTCTCTCTCGTTGCTTTTTATTCGATGACCCCGCGAGGTCGACCAAAAATTACTCGCTCCTGACTAACGTCGTTTTCTGTGTCAAAGAACATGCCAACGATTTCCGAAGAAATGTTCTCACACATCTGCTCTGTGCGACGTTTCTTTTTTTGAAAAGAAAAATAATGATATTACCGTTAAGTTATTCGAAAAATATTTATCCTAAAAATGAACGAAATAAGAGATCTATCTATTTCTCCGTTCTCTTTTCCACCCTCCTCCCTCTCTCTCACCCTCTCTCTCTCTCTCTCTTTGTTTTCATTATTTTTCCCTTTTTTCACAGCAAATTCCATTCTCCGATCAGATATCGCGGCAGTCAGACACCGGGACTTTTTATCGAGGCGGACCCTCGGCTCGCATCGAGGAAGAGAGTAGTTTTGCAAGCGCTCTTTAGTGCTCGATTCCACAACGCGTATGTATATGCACGGTGACCGTATAAAGTAATCCGTCAGACAGAAGTGGGCAGTGGGGTGATAATGCATGAGTGCGGTAGCCCCGCCCTATCCCTGTAACCGCGATAAAATCTCTCATTACGCAACGAAACGGACCCTCTGTCGCTAGACTCTCTGTTATCCTTAGGCAGGAACAACTCTAATAAACCATACGTATGTAAA